CCAAAATCCTTCCTTTAATATGACAGCTCGTTTGAAGAGATATTGACATTTTGTATAAACAAAAGAAATGTTAGAATATTTTCTTCGGCGAAAGGAAAGTCAATAAAGGTTTTGAGGCATCGCCCTCTAGGCGGGTTTCAGGCGGGGTGCGGCGGGTTGCGGGGAGACGCGGAGGGGAGGCGCCAAGGGACGGGGGTACTCTTCTTGATTACAGACCGCCCTACAACCTCGCAGATATCCCCTCGTAGCCTACGTACAGGTTCACAATATGCATCGCTTATTATTATCAGTGCAAATAAAATTAACAAGTTATTATTTTAGATCACTTAACGATGCAGTTAACAGTTTCGTTAGTATTTTTCATCATAAAAATTTATTTTCAAACGGGTTGCAGGATTTTATAATGTTTATTTTATAAAAAATATTAAATATTGCATTTGTAATATTTTTTCTAGAGTAAATAACTCCGACATGACGTAGTATACATATTTATATTTTGTAATTAATTTCTATACTATGTAATCGAATAACTTCCGTGTTTCCTTCATACGACCGTCTTATTGGTTACCATGGCAACGACAATGTCTAACGCAAGACGATAATTGCTAGGTCATTAAAATCACATTTGTATTCGACATGATGCAGTACTTTGTAGATACTGATGGGTAAAGAATTGTATAATAAATTAAGAACAACTTGATAAAAAAAATATATGTCTGTGGACCTAAGTGTTTCAATTATAGTAGTTACTTTAAGCTATTAATACACTTTTTTATTTACATGTGGCCTTTGATAATAATTTTAAATATTAAGTTCAGAAACACGTTTGTAAAGATCACAAATTGTGAAGCCTAGTCAGAGCGGGCGTGTTGTGCGCAGGTGGCCGCGCCGAGATTGCTCGCATCAAACTTGCACGAAGATACGACCCGAGTGCTCATAAAAATACATATTCTAGCAGAAGGGCCCCCGCTTTTAATACGGAGCAGTAATGAGCAGCCTTAGGTCGTGAATCTTCTTAATTTTCTCTTCAACTACCCATTGAAGCGGATTGCCAGTCTTTAGTAATTGTTTAATGAGGTCGAGGTGAAAACGTTTATGGATACCTTTAAGTAAATTTTGTAACAGTTTTGTACAAAATACAGGACAGATTAAATGCAATCACTCAACTAACTTATTCTTTAGTACTAAATGATCTTCTGTCATTCATTAATCGGTTTTAACCACTTCGTAATTTTTTCTAAGACCTAACTAAAACCTAACACCGACTCTAGCCCTTGATTTTTGTAATAATAAACAAAAAGAACGGTATTTTATTATTTGTCCATCCTTTGCCACTCTGCAAGGGTATCCAACCTATCCACAAGTCTTTTCTTTTGCTGTCTTCTTAAATAAAATTAACATGAACATTATATAACGAAAAATAAACTGTTACATGTTTATGCCTTAAATGAAAATTTGCTGTTCTTGTCCCGTCAAATCTAAATTACATTTAAAAAATAGTAAATCTCACAAAGAAGACATAAACACGTTATTGAAGATGTCTACGTCAGTTAGATTAATAACAAAAGTTTTATCTTGCATTCAATTTAATATGAAGTCAAAAAGTGGCTACCTCCATATAATTTCCCGCGCAACGTTCCCCTCAACATCTGCCCCACGCGCCGCACCCACTTTGTTTTCATATGAATTTAATAGGGAAAAAATATTCTTGTTAAGATAAAAATCATTTGGTTAGCACAATTAGTTATTTAGTAACATCGAAATTGCCGCCTAATAGCGACGGGTGCTGATTTCGTACACAGTGCAATATATTTTTACAGGTATCTAACGATGCGCCCCGAATTCACACGGGTGATGTTGTCATGTTGAACATTGTCATGTTGAATATAGCCAATGCTACTCTGACAGAAATAAAAGAAAAAAAAAGAAAAAAAGTAAGTAATATAGAAATAACTTTTTTTATTTATACAGTAATATTATAAAGAGGAAAGATTTTTATTTTTTTATGTATTGAAATAACTCAAAAACTACAGAGCCGAGTTTAAAAATTATTTCAAAGTTAGAAAGGTAATTTATCTGTGTGTAACAAGAGTAAAAAGAGATAATTTTATATTTATTTTTTAATTTCCCTCGGACGAAGTTGCGAGCAACAGCTAGTAACACATACAATTTAAAAAAATATGAACTTGCGTTAAATATACCTAAGTACCTAAAGAGTAGCATTATTCCGATATTATGGTGTTTATGTTGATAATAAAAGTAAAAAAATCGTCCGTAAAACTAACATTTCCAAGTTCACCGATTCAACCGACGTCCCGCCATCTCTCTGATTGATTAAAACTCTAACAAAGGGATAAAGCTGATCACCGGGAGCTTTGTACAGAAGCCCTTTATGTTCTCGTAATCAAAGAATCCACCCTATACAAAATCATTCAACAAAAATATGAATTTTCTTATGATTATAGCTATGGAAAAATGGGGTATAATTATTTTTTCGTACGGGTAGTCTTTTTTGTTGTGAATTTACTCGAACCTTTAAACTTAGCATGATTCACGACTCTCGTTTTTTTATTTTAGTTTTATTTCGTGGTTTAAAACACAAAACATCACTTTTTTCAATCCTATTTAGTAATCATAGAAAGCAATAAATAAGTAATGTTTAAAAAAAAGTCTTATTAAATGTATGGACTCGAGTGATGATCGTTACTACTCTTATGTACTCCTGATACATCTAAATTAAAAGCCATAATAATTTAGAAGCAGTTGGCAATAAAGAGGATCATAAAAGTCAGGTAGGTCACGATAGGTAAGTCGGGCAGGGGTCGCTACCGACAGATGTCGCCCCCCGCCGCGAACCTGATGAACTCTGCCCAACTAGCCCACATCATTTGTAATCTCTTCTTTTAGCTACTTGCAAGGGTCTTATTAAACTTAAACTGATAATTTTGGATAAGTACAATATAGTTCAAGTTCAAGGTGTTCTTATATTATTTAATTTGTACAAGAGAATTTTTATATCACAATTTCTTATTATCATTCAAAATAAACTACTAGTTAATTGCATTTACAACGCTGTATATTTGTAGCTTGCATACAAAGCTACAAACCTTTGGTTCGCCACAAATTCCAATAAAACTCTCTCTATGTTATACATATGTCATTTTTTTCATTTCTAACTTTAATTTCTCTTGATTAAAGAGTGATTGTGGTTAAACACTTTAAAAGTCATGTAGTTGTGTGAAAATACGACACCGGAAGGAAGCGATTCCGCGCGCGCGACGACACGTGGCCGCTTCCGGCGTTAATGTGGTAATATAATAGGAGACGTCTCCACTTCATTCCTGTTCCATAAAATAATAGCTCAATATTTGCTCAATCATTTTCTCACACTAAAAATTTATGTTACGTTAAAAATACCTTGTGTCAGTTAGTGATGTTTTGTTGGTCGAATAATTAAAATGACCTAATAATGAATTACTTAACTTTTTAGAATAATGCATAAGTATACAGTACAGCGCTACTATGGAGGTCAATTCTACTTATGAACAACTCTCTTTTCTAACTTAAAGTTTTTTCCCTGATATCTTAATTATTCTTCTTGATCCAATTCTATTTAAAAAGGTTTACAAAGTATTCTACATAAAAGATAGCAATATAGCAATTACCCATATTTAATGTAAAAGTGATTGTGTACCAGTAATACTAGAAATAGCACTTTAATACGAACATTACAAACAATACCCTCGTATAACAACAATTTGCTAAGTGCGACGTTATCGGTATAATAGGTGCGCGTCGGCGTTTAAATCGAAAAGAGCTCATCGACGCTCCCGTGTTGTGCGAGCACTTAACTTGATTACGCGAAGCCCCACAGCCCACAGCCCACCGCTGCGCCCGCGGGCCCGCGGCCCACGCGAGCGCGGCCGGCAAGCGGACACGCACACTCCGTGCCCGCCCTGCCGCGTGCCCGGCGACACGTGTCCCACGCGGTAATTGTAGCTTACTTTATGGATTACTGCTTACTGCTTCCACTTCGACAACAAGAGTTGCCTCTTTTACATTACAATTATCTGGCTTTCTTTGTGCTTACAACGATGATAGATATTCAAAGATAATATTTTTCATGGTTAAATACAATAGAAAATAATTCTCACCTTCTAACGCTTTATTTCTAGCTAACAGCGCCAGGAGTACATCAGGCGGCGGCGGATCTAGCGGATGCATGTCTAGAGTCGTACCCATAGGGATCTCACGGGCCCTGCAATCCTGCACCAACTCGTTATATCCAGATTCCATGTATCACAACTACGTCCTCGGTACACCACACATACATCGAGCGTTAGCTCGAAAGTTTCGCATTCCGTGCAAGCCGCGCGTGCTTCCCGGAGCCGGCAGTAGCTCGAGCGAGGCGACGGCAAGGGACCGGGAGCGATGCGACGTACCGGAGGCCGCGCGCGGAGGAAACCTGCCCCGCGCGGTACCGCCCACGCCCGCCCAACACGCCGCGCGTTCTGCGCACTACCCTCCTACCTCCCATTGAGAAGTCATTTTTTACCCCCCGAATCTGATAAACCCTCGGGCGAGAGGGGCTGCCGGGGCTCCCCCGCCCCGAACTAATTTGCCGGAGTCGTACGACACACCCCTGGTGCTTACATCCATCTACAATATTACTCCGGCACGTTATCCCGTTCGCGGGGGCACTGCGCCGGGCGCCGGGCGCCGCAACTCATCTAGCCTCGCCGTTGTCAAGAAACTAAATTTTGAAATTGTAATTGTGATGATATTTTTTACAATTACATTACAAAAATCACAGCAGATGTTTTTCGCGTACCGGGCCTCATAAATGTTATTAACTTTCTAATTAACCAAAAGTAAGGTTGTAAGTTAATATTACATACTATTTGGCCGAATTGTTGACAAAATAAAACACAATATTGACATTTTGTCAATTGTCAGAAAACTGCTGTTTTTAATTATGTATTTTAATGATAATTTTTTCATCTTTTTAATATAGAAAAGTTTTAATTTATATCTCTTATTAAAAGTAAAAATGGAAAACTGCGACAAGTATGAACCTGATAACGTATTTAAAGTTTTCGAATTGATTGAATTTCCGATATGTTTCGTAGGTTTAACTTTATCAAAACAGATTAGGGTGGAGAGAGATCTATATACATCAGCATATTTCAAAACAATGCACGAAGGCACATTAATGGTAGGTAACTTATTATTGTATTAGTTGCTTAGTAATAATGGACGCGTCATCCATCTGTTTAGCCCACACTTTCGTTGCGTTTCATTGAGTAATTAAATTTGAATAAATAATTATCAAATGTCCCAGTTTTAATTTTTTGGAATAGTTTTGACCAAGCAGCTACTTTCAAAACCATGTTACTAAATTTATTGATTATCTATTTTATGTAAATAATAACTATTTTTATTCTAGAAATTCGAAGAGGCTCGCGAAGTATCCGCATCGCATAGAGCTTTTATTATAACGAACATTGACAATCATACAATAGAAATAACTTTCAAACCTACTAATGAATGCATCGTGGGACCTAAACAATTAAAAAATAATGATAATAGATTTGTTGTTGATTTGAGACTAATACATGTAGATGGAGTTAGATGTTGTAATAATGAATGGCATGCTGAAATTGGAAGATATTACATTAGTGGTCAATTTGAATATATTAAAATGTCACATAAACCAAAGGTATTAGATTTTGGAGAAGTATCACTTAGTAAAAAAATCACAATACCATTAGTGATACGAAACGATTCTAAGTTCACAACGGCGAAGGTCTATTATCTGAAATCAGTCAGCTTCGAAGTATTGCCGCAAGTGTTTTGTATAAAACCTGCCTCATCTCAAGAAATATTAATTACAGTAAAGCCTAATAGTCTAAAAGTTGACAATCAAATTGAATTTCATATAACAAACCCTAATGAAAGCATTTATAAACCGACAACGGGTAATAATTCCGTTGAATACAATGATAACATTTTACCTTACAAAATCTCGTGCAAGATTAAAGTTATTTGCGCTCAAAGATATCGTCCTCCGCTTGCTAAGTCATTACATACGTTACGACATGAACCGGATCCTTACTACACTTATGACGAAGAAGAGCTATCTATAATCAAAGAGCATAAGAAGAAAGCTATAGAATTTTTGACAGTTTGTAAAATGTCCGCTCTAACTAAATATGTATCTGAAAACAGAATCATAGAGAAAGACCAGTGTTATATTGATGTAGATAGTAAACCAAAGGTACCGGGAAATTTGTTTTGTACAACGTTTCCTCGATTGCTATCAATTTATGACGTTTTCTTTATATTACCCCAACCTACAGTCGTTGAATTCGGTCGAGTTGGATTAGAATCTTATGCCGAAAATCATATAACTATTAACAATAACAGTATGTCTGATATCACACTAGATTTTTTTCAAAGTGACTATATACTTTACACAGAAAGAAAAGAACGTACCTTACATGTAAAGTTAAAGGCAATGAAGGAAATAAAATTAAACTTATTCTGTTTCGGTCATTCTGAGGGAAACTTTGTCAATTACTTCGAATATACTATAAATAACAAATATTACCGACAACATTTATACACACTTCAAATTGGAAACGCGAGTCTCGTGTTGTCTGATAAAAGTTTAAAATTTGGTATGGTCACCATGGAAGCTTTTATTACATCACTTCCGATAAAAATGCACAACTATTTTAATGTTACCGTAGACTTTACGTGGAATACTCCAAACGATGATATGCCATTCGAAGTAGTTCCAAGTACGGGCTCACTCCCAGGAAATACTTGCAGGATGTGTAACGTAATATACAACTGTAGACCTACAAAAGCGAAAGTGTTTGAAATCGACTTGAACTTGGAAAAGAAAGTCATTCCTGTGGAACTCTATATCGTGACACGCAAACTTTCCATCAAATTCTTAAAAACAGCTTTAGCATTAAATGATATTGCATTAAATTTAGAAACAGTAGAAAAACTCAAATTGGAAAATTCTTCAAGAGAAGTTGCTTTCTTTTATGTAGTTGAACCTCTTTTACCCGGAATCAAAGTAGAACCTATGAGTGGAGTGATAGGACCAAAGATGATAATACCTTTTGATGTTATTGTAAAGATTACTTGTGTAATAGAGTTCAACTTTGATTTGGTACTTAAAATTAATAATAAAGAGAATGTTGTAGTTCCAGTCACCGGGAATGTGGTAGAGCCCAAATTAAACATTCAACCGAAAAATATTTACATGTCACGCATACCATGCAATATGTTAACTTATGTACAAGTTATTATACAAAATACTTGCAACGTCAAATCTGAAATAGAGGTAATCGACGGTGATGATGAGATTTTTAATGTCTACTATAACAAAGGTAATGAAAAATGTAGACTTACGAAGTTTGATATTGAAGGAGGACAAACTAAAACAATTTTTATACAAGTTCAAGGAACATTTCGAAGAGAATACGATTTTTATATGCCTTTTAGAGTAAACGGATTAATAGGACCACCTGAAATTAATTCTCAATCACATGATCTTAAATACTACATCGAAAAGAACGTGGAGTAAGTTCAATTTGATAATAAACGCAATAATAGTTTAAAAAAAACCTATGAACTATAGTAATAATTAAATTAATATTTCAGGTTGTATGAGAACAATCCAAAGGTGAAACTAAAATCGATTAATAAAGAAATCAGCTTTTGCCGCATCAATGGTGTAATAAGTTTACCACAGCTAGAATTTTCTGTTGATCATTTTGAAATAATATACAAAATGAATGCTAACAACAGTATTGAGTTTACGATGAAAAATGTTTCGAAACACACATTGCACATTACAATATTAATTTCAAAAATACCGCCAAATTTCACCTTAAATTTAACATCCGAAGAAAGTTTACTTATGACAACTGAAAATTACCTCAAATTCGAATTGATTACATTAAAGGCCGCTAACTTTTGTTTGAAGTTTCATCCTAAAGGACCTGGCAGATTTGTGTCTGTTGCTTTATTATATCTTGGTACAAACACGACACCTTATTACAATCTAACGTTTGTCGGTGTCAATGAAATGCCAACCTTAATACCAAGCAAATCCCGAATAGTATTTCCTGCGATATATGTTGGTAAAACAGTGTTCAATATTGTAACCTTCACACTCGATATTGAAGCAGATTTGAGTTCATTTTCTTTTGCATCGAATAAACAGAAGTTTGTAACAGTAGAATTATTAGATTATGAAATCATTGAAAACAATACGACAAAGAAAAATACATCTATAAGCGCTAAGATATCTGTTTATAGTGAAAAACCAATTGTTGCCTCTTCTACGATTACATTAAGACATTCTAGTGGCTCGAGTTGTGACATAGAAATCAAATTCTGTTTTACATATTGCCCCCTCACTTTACATGTAGAATCAATTGTCCACTATGAAGATAATCCATACCCATATTATCCTGAAGAAACTCAAATTGATCTCTATAACTACATGGATAAAAGTTCTCAATTCCTTGAAAGGTGGATGTTTTACCAGGGTTTTAGAAAGGAACTGTATCCCAAAATTCCTGAAACACTTAATGCGTTATCAATTGCTATGTCATCTCAAGCAAAAGAAAAATCGAAAGGGATTAATGTTTCTTATCTTAGTTTCATTAGAAGGATTGCAGGACCGTTACTAAAGCATATACATAAAGTGGAGTAAGTGTTACAAATGTGAGAATTGTCAACCCGTAATAATAACGATGTTAGTTAACATTAATTAATCTATTTCAGAGTATTTGACGCAGACGAAGCAGTCAGGCAAGTGAAAGATATTCATGGTGTTTATGGAGAAATTATTAAGTTACTAAAATCTCGCGGAGCAAACATATGGGCATTAGAGGCAAAGTTTCTCTTAAGTTACGACCAATTCGTTACTTATGTGTCAAATGTACCACCAAAAAATAATGCAGATAAATGTTTCATACAGGAAATTTTAAATGACATGACGTTGTTCAAGAGATTAAACAAACAATGTTGGATAGACTTTATCTTGCAAAGCTACAAGGTTTTCATATTAGATAGTTGCTTTTTTGATTGTGTTTGCGTCAGTTCACAGCCAAGAGACATATTAAATACATTAATTAATTGGTATAACGACCAGCTGAGAGCACATTACGCGCAATGTCTGAAAGGGGAGACGGTTAAATGTATAAAAAATATCACAACCGACTTATGTGACGGTATTGCTATCATTGCAGCATTTTTAAATCACTGTTCATTTCTAAAAGACCACTTCTCTATATACAGTATGGAAAGTGAGTGTGACACTGATAATGGAAAAATTAATAATGCTTGTCTAATCATTGAAGCTATCAACCATTTACGGCTCAACTTTCCGATAAGTTGTTTAGAGTTGCTTGAACCAAATTTCTTGCAAATGTTTTTTTTATCCATTACTTTATATGTTGTTTTGCCAATGTTCAAACCGAAGGACACAATAAAATTTAATCCACCACTATTAAAAAGTTCCACGCGTAGAGTTTCAATAAATCCAGCAAGTCAAGAATCTTTAACCCTTGCGTATTTCCTGCTTGATAATTCAAAGAATACTTTTAGCGTTGAAAAAATAGTTGCCGGTGAGAGTGGTAAAAAAGTTGCCGTCAATGTTACTTACAATGCTAACTTTGTTGATGAATGTAAATCAATTCTGTTAGTACATGGGTATAATAAAACACGAATTTTTGATACCTACATAGTATTTATGCTCTCCGGGAAAGTAGAGACTTTCGCCCCTTTAAGAAAATGCAAGGTTTCGGGGCCTAATTATCGACAACAAAGAGTTGATGTTTTCGTTTCGTCTCCCTTCACAGCTACGTCTACATTTACAATGTACATCTTAGATGAGGAACCGTTTTTACCTGTAGTACTTGAAGCTAATCCAAAGCGTAAGTTCTATGCAACACGACTTCATCTTATTGACAAAGAAGTAACATTACCCGGTATGCCTAAAGAAAGTGGACAAGAAGTTGTGGAACATAAGGTTCATTTTCTTATGTTCTGTTTAAATGCTCAAATCAGTAATACATGGATCTGGTTTAAAAGTAATGTTGGAGAATTCTTTATAAAAGTGACGTCACAACCACGATGCGACATATATCTCGATACGCTGTATGTCCAAGTTCCTGAATGGCCGATGCCTCCTTGCAGCTGCGGGAAAGAGTGTGAATGTTACCGCACTACTTTTCTGATAATACCTCATCGCAATGACATTATGATAAAATCCTTACGCGGAGCAATAACAGAAAGGGCTTCCGAAAAGATGGTTGAAAACTTTGATCAATTGATAGGTATAAATATTTACTAATTATAATATAATGTTGTTAATAACTAATGTCTGTAAATATTTTTTTATAGTACAAGAACTTTCTTGAGATCTAATATGAACATTTTTGAATTTGCAGAAACATCAACAGGAAGGGTTGTTCTCGGTATGCTTTTAGCTGAAGGTGGTACAAATATATCCGAAGTGCAACACATTCTGCGCAATGAGACCTCGTTTCGTGTGACGGCGCGCTCGCTGGAGCCGCGAATCGACCGAGTGACACTTGCCCAGCACACTGAAGACACCTTAGCCCTGCCAATAACGGTACCCGTGTGCGATAAACCTGAGAAATTCTCAGTCACTTTCACCTCTGAATGCGGTTTGGATATACGCACATACAAAGTCGTATTTACTGAGAATGAACAAATTTAATATTTTATTATCATGTTTTTTGAGGATCTAATATTTGATAGAAATAATAATTCGTTACCTATAATCCTTTTACAATGTTTGTTGTAATTATCTATATATTTCTTATTTTTTTTACATGTATAAAATTACAATATTTTTAGTTCCTAGTGTATCGCTTTTTTATTACATTTAAGAGTAAAACTGACTTTTAATTTCGTCAGCTTTTAACATGTTTTGCGTGACGCTAAATTTTTTTAGACTTTAGTTAAATACAAAATCTGCAATGAATATAGCCTTCGGCCTTGAAGTTGCAGGCTCAGGCAATCAAATTACAACAAATGCTTCCTTGAACCAATGACTTCCTTGTTGTATAGAAAACTAATGAACACTCGAATTTATTGTAATAACTTGAATAAAGATCCTGTTGACAGTTCGAAGACTAGATTTACCTTTAACGAATTTTAAACGGCTAAAACAGACCAGCAGCTTGGAATTTATGTTGCCTGCTTAAAACAGTGTGGCAGCCCTTAAGTTGGTCAAACAATATAAAAAGAATTGAAAGAAGCAGTTATCATTGCAGATTCCCATGATCGTTGTTGTGTTTGGAAGTGTTGAGATAGCACCACATAGCACCGCTCCGCGCCACCTGCCGCCTTGACCGCGGCAGCGAGTCATGCTAGTCCGGTAGTCATGTAAAAACACTAACCGCACACGCAATATTTGATAATAGATAATTCATAATGCCTATATTATGACAATTCAATACATCTCAAAAAATTAAAAGCATAGCTTGTAGTAATCATGTAGTGAAAAAATGGTCAATGCAACGAATATTATCTTAGGGGCATGATGTGTTACACTTACGCATTATGATGTGTACTCGCTTATTTGTGAATAACTTTAAATTGGAAATTTCCTTGATAGTTCAGAGTACGATTTTAGTCTTTGTGAATAAGAAAAAATGACAGGAACATATTATTGTTGTGATGATAATACATGTTGTGAATTTGTCAATCTTTATATTAACTGAAAAAGTATCCTTGCTTCGTAAAACATTAATTATACGAGTAGCTGCGAACGTGTACCGTAGAAAGCTGGTGTACGGCTATAAATCCACTTCTCGACACCACAACCTCCATTGTCTTGCCAGTCGTCATCGCGGCTTCATACCTTAAAACATCGTTTCATAACAGTCTTTTGTTTTCAATATTGTATGAAATTGAAATATATTTTATTACTTTTTTAATTTTGCTAGTGCATCAGTGTGAGTGTTTATAAAGTGCGCAATGGAAATGGACAGTAAACAATTTCGGGAGTTCGGGAAAGCTGCCATTGATATATTGGCGGACTACTACGATCACATACGGGATAGGTATGTGGTTTTAGCACATCTTATTGTATTTAGTTTTACCGTAGGCAATTCGCGAATTTTAAAATTTAAATTAGGACATAATGTTAATTGGCGTATCACGTAATTTTGTAAATTCGTATTGGGACTGAAAAAGATTTAAAACAATTTTCCGAAGTTTTGTAAGTGAAATTTTGTAACCATTAAGCAATATCTGATTGTATTATATAAACATGAATATAAAAATCGGGGGGGTTAAATTTTTTTCTTTTCCTTTCACATATAAATCGGCTATGCAAAACTGACTACTACAGATAACTGTGAAAATAAGGAAGTTCAATTATTAAACAAAAAAAATGTAGTTAAAGTTTTAAGACAAGAAAATAAAAATGATATTACTTTTTATAACTAGCGAAAACGTGTCATTACAAAAAATCAATAAAAAGTCAATGCTTTGTAGCTTTGTTTGTATTTTTAATTCCGTCATGATAGGGAAATTGATGCAATCTTGAATCTTGCATCCAATGGAATAATTATATCCTATAGATAATACATTATCTAAGAACCTGTACAAAAAAAGACTCTAATTTATTTTTATTTTTTGAACGATATTGTTTTGCACAAGTATCTCAACAGGGGAAAATCAAGGTAATTAAATTCCTCAGTTTTCATCTAAGACAACATTTGTATCGTCCCACGCACACGCTAATGATATAACAATCTTACAATGACTTCACAATGACTGATGTTAATCAACAAAGACACGAAACCCTCCATCAGTTCAATTATTTACCGGTAGTGATTGCACAATGTAATTATGTTAGAATTTGCAGAAATTATTAAATATACTTGACAAATAGTATAGTTAATTATTCTATGATGCTAGTCTGAAGAAAATGATTTTACAAAAGAAGTTGCACGTCAACAAAATTCGTCTTTGATATGGAACGATTAGTTAAATTGTTTAACTCAGTTTAAATAAATGTTAACTATATTACAGTGTTATTATTCAGTGACTCAGTTTTCTTATTACAAGCTCCTTTATCATTATCACTTGATTTTTTGAATTTCCTTAAACATCAGATAAATAAAAAAAATCAATTAAAGAGAGCCAGAAACCTCACATTTGCATTTATTTTTAAGCAAAGATTTCGTGAAAACAAAAGACATGATAATCAACTACATACAATAGCCAACAATTTTAACCGTATAAATTTAAAATTGCACTTTCTACAATGTTGTAACAACTCATGTGAAATTTTAAATGAGCTTCCTTGTTAAGCCTTAGACTTACATAACAGTAACCAGCTTATAGTGTTTATGCAACTTGATGGGTATAAGTGGTAGTAATAATGGTAGTAAGATAACTCTATGCTATGAAATCTTAACGCCGTATGTTTGTGTTTACGAATACTTTGAGCAATATAAGTATTTTACAGTTCTAGTCTTCTTTTGGTACAAGAAAAAATTGCTTTGAAGCTTACAATTTCACAGATGTCACAATTTGAAATACCGAAATAAGGAATTGACTTTTTAAATGTTTTTTTTTAGAAATGTACTGCCATCCGTAGAACCGGGACAATTGATAAGACAAATGTCAGAAGATGCACCCGAACAACCCTGCGAATGGCAAGACGTTTTAAAAGACTTCACTGAAAAAATTTTGCCTGGCGTAAGTACAAATATATTATGATGCATGTTATATGTAATGAAAATTAGAATTCAACTCATAGATTCATGTTTTTTAGACAACTCACTGGCATCATCCTCAATTTCATGCGTATTATCCAACTGGAATCTCGTACGCCAGTATTGTGGGCAACTTACTTAGTGATGGCCTTGGAGTTGTTGGCTTCACCTGGGTAAGTGCACGTGATGTCATTCTATCAATATTGATATGTCTTTGCAACTTGAAGTCGCGCCAAGAATGACCAAGCGCCTTTAAAAACTTATTAGCAATTCATAAGACAAGCAATTTTATAAAATTAAAAATATAAGCATATTGTTACTGTCTCTAATATAACACAGGCTTATCACGAAAAGTTAAGTGTGAGTAAATAATTATTGAAGTTGATAGCCTTATTTAATTTATACAGATTGCAAGTCCTGCTTGTACTGAACTAGAAGTGGTTACAATGAATTGGCTTGGCAAGTTACTTGGTCTACCTGAAGAATTTCTTAATTGCTCCTCAGGACCTGGAGGAGGAATTATTCAGGTAAATGTAAAATTAATTTAATAGTCATAACTACTTACTAAATAGAAACGGTTTTATTCAAAACATTTATCTACTAATAGGGTTCTGCCAGCGAGTCTACACTCGTCGGACTTCTTGCTGCTAAAGATAAAATGATCCGAAGACTCACCAAAGAGAACCCCGGTCTTGACCCCGATGACATACATAAGAAGCTAATTGCTTACACTTCAGACCAATGTAATTCTTCAGTAGAAAAAGCTGGAGTACTCGGTTCAATGAAAATGCGCTTATTAAAATCTGATGCTTTCGGTAAATTACGTGGAGATACACTAAAGAAAGCCTTCGAAGACGACGTAGCCGAGGGACTCATACCCTGCTACGTTGTTGCAAATTTAGGAACAACAGGAACTTGCTCATTTGATCCTCTTTATGAACTTGGACCTATATGTAAAGAAAACAACGTATGGTTACATGTAGATGCTGCGTATGCTGGTAGTGCTTTCATATGTCCGGAATACAGAGGTTTTATGAAAGGTGTAGAATACGCCGACTCTTTTGATATAAACGCACACAAATGGTTACTCGTAAATTTCGATTGCTCTGCAATGTGGGTACGAGATGGATACGACTTGATCAATGCATTCGATGTTCAAAGAATTTACTTAGATGATGTCAAAACTAGTTTGAAAATACCAGACTACAGGCATTGGCAGATGCCGTTAGGCCGCCGATTTAGATCACTAAAGTTGTGGTCGGTGATGAAAACTTACGGTGCAGAAGGCTTGAGAAGACATATCAGAAATCATATTAGTCTCGCACAACATTTTGCGAAGCTAGTGAAATCAGATGAAAGATTTATTGTTGAGCCAGAACCAATAATGGGATTGGTGTGTTTTAGGCTTAAAGATGGGGACAATTTAACGAGAAAAATGTTAGAAAATCTGACTGCTAAGAAAAAAGTTTTTATGGTGGCAGCGAGTTATCGTGGCCGCTACATAATACGTTGGGTGATCTGTTCGCTCTTCACAACGAAAGACGATGTTGAAATCAGCTGGATGAATATTAAGCAGGAGGCAGATATCGTTTGTTTAAATAATAAATGCGTCAAATCCAAAATATCAAACATTGAAAGCATAGAAAGCGTAAGCATCTCTGAAGAAAAATCGAAATAAACTTTACTCTTATTGATTTACTTTGAGTTTATTCTTTGGTGCATAATAAAAAAAAAACACTTCAACTATTGCTAGAAGGTGATATTAAATTTTTCTTTCGTCATTTAATTGGTCAAAATTTCAAACAATTTGAGGTTGAATGAAATGCTTTTAACTTTTAAGTGCTTCGGTATGATAATTTAAGTAGTCGTAGGAAAATGGTACAATGTTAAAGTTTAAGAAAATAGGTAATAAAGTGCAACACAATTTATTTTTGTTTTATTTACTAGATCCCCTTTGATACGTTTAATTCATTAGGCAGTTACAATATTTTTTTAAAAATCACATTTTTAAATTAAGCGACTGTTATTCTTTAATTCACAGGAAACATAAGTAAAAATGCTGTCTTGTTCTTTTATGCTATACTTTTGTTTTAAAATCATATACAGCTGCAAGTATGACCGACACAGATGCCATACGAATATCCTTTAGGCAGACAATGTTCCTGGCATACGATGTCGTCTACGGGGTCTTCATATTGACATGACACTCTTCCTGGGATGTGGTATTCTGGAAAATAATCATAGTAATATTATAAATACGAAAGTTTAGATGAATTGATATTTATATACGTCTATAAACGTCTATAAACGTCTAAAAAGATTTCGATAAAATTTGATATCGTTAGATATAGAGCATAGTTTGGAAGAACACATAGGCTATTCAATTTTGTTTTTTTTTTTAATTCCACGCGGGTAGAGTCGCAGACGAAAGCTAATAATTTATAATTGTTAATTTTAATCGAAAGGTAAAACTAATATTGAATGACAAGCAAGTATAATAAACGTTTTTAAACTACATTGAAATCAAATTGGAAATAATTAAAAAACAAAACTTACATTGAAGTCATGCAATTGCATTTTTTAACCTTTAACCCCGATAGTAATTCGTTTTACTTAAGTTGTATTGTATTAAGAATAAACTACTTACTAAAATTAATTATATGAGTAACTTAAACTGTTTCCGGATACGATGATTTCACATCACATACTAAGTAAAAAAAATATTGCATCATTATTTCAAGTAATAAAATAATTACGTACCTTTTCCAATGTCCACACTGGGCGTCGAACTTTCTTTTGCTCCAATATTTATTTCCGTTACAGTTTCTTGTTTCACTATACTACTATCTCTGGGAAAAGCATTACTAACAAAGAAGCAACTTATTATAACCGTGAAAAATAATACTAAAGTTTTAAACTCCATTTTAATTAATGTGAAAACAAGTTGGCAGCACAATAATCGTCGCAGACTAACAAATGACAAACAATGACCACACTATTTATGCGTTGGACGGTAATGAGGAATACATTTGCATTTCCTAAGGTCACTCAATGCCCTCTTTTATTATGCATGCGTCATGCAATTTCTGTATTGCTATATAGTTTGAAAAGGATTAATCATCGTAAATAACTCACAAATTATAATAACAATTACACAAATGATGTTTGTTTTTTAATTTAATTATGTTACTTACGTTTATATTTATTTATATTACGTCTAATAATTATATAGACTAGTTAGACGTAATACAAATTAAGCAAACTAAATACAAACAATAGATCTATATTTCATTATTCAAATACATATTTCTTAACAAACGAAAGTACAGTATATGACATTTATTTGGCACGTGATATACAAGAGTATTCTTTTTTTCGACGTGCCAACTCAAGTTCTTACCTGGTATTTAGCACGTTAACATAACTTATAGTCCGAATGCTAAACACTACGTATACTATTTTTTTAATTCGAGAAATTCGATTTTTAAAATTAATTACACCTACACAAATTGTTAATACAGAAACCAAACGAAAATCCTTTAGGTAAGCAATGTTCCAGACACACCATATCTTCAGTGGGCTCATCGTATTGACATTTTACTTTATCAGTTAGTTTTATTCCTGCAAAAATACAATTTAAGGTAAATTAATTTCTTATAATTACTTCCACAGTTCAACGAAATATAAACATTGGGATATTGTTCTGCATTATTACCCAATGATTAATTTTAGGGAAAAATTGATGTATACTTTTATAGATTTCGTGTGACTAAATGCAGTTCTTTTTAAATTAATTATCTGTACAGATCTGTCCGTCAATTTATAACCGAGTTAATTAATAATGTAAATTACTTTCACAAACATTATATTTTTAGTAACGTGCACAGATAAATAAAGAGAAAACTGTCAATTTTAGTAAGTACCTTTTTCAATAAGCGACATTGAGACATTGCTTGCGAATAAATTCGTTATTATAACCATAAAGAAGAACACATATTTTTGGAATTCCATTTTATAATAAACAATTTTTAATTAAAAAAACCTGAGTAAAAAATCAATTGCCGGCGTACACGGTTCCTTGTCGAACAGTTAATGAGAATATGATCTTCATTTTTGTATTATGTGTTTACCAGAATAATATACATAAATAAAAGTATTGTTTGCCATCATTACTCATATCAGTACCTGAATAGGTTTTGTTTATAATAACAGTTTTATTTACCATAGAGAAGTCTATTTATTTATAAATCTAATCAAAACAATGATTAACAGTCTTCTGAGTCACCTATTTTGCCCAATTGAGGAAGCGATCATCTAATCGATTGATAGACAATTCTAAATCGAGTGGCTTTCCTAAACTCTCTCAAGGCTCCGATACTTTCGATTCATTTTAGTGATAAAATTTCTGCATCTGAAGTGAAAAAGTTATATGAATACAGTGCAATCAAATTACAAAACTATGGGCAGAAAATTGTAGATCGAAATAAAGTTATTTTGATTATTTCCCCTTTCATTACGCAGAGTTATAAGCCGTCTCTGAGCACGCTGTCATATCACGAACAAAATGGCCTAGCACCAGAGAAAACGTACTCATTGCCACTCGCTGACAGGACCACAACATCCAATTTACTGCTCGCCACACTGTCGTAACGATGTTATGCTGGATTCGAGTTCCTACAGCTCTTTAACTACAGGTTACTGAATTGCGACCAGACTATTCGAAATCATTTACGAAACTTAGGTCTTCGTACCTCTTAAAGTCATACTACTTCTACTTACCTTACCTTCTTAATCTGACCAGATGCAGCTTTTAAAATTCTTAGAAAAAGTGTAGGCAGCGATATCGCAAAGTACTTTTTAATAATTTATCTTAAGTGTGCCAAATGGTTGTAATTGTGTAACTCATGTCGATCATTGATGCACAGGCAACTTTTACATCTTTCACATACTTTGTATCCCAATTTTTACAAAATATTGTGATTATAAATAACAAATAATGTGTATCGTTCGAATCAAAGGCATGCGTTGCTAAACATTTTTCAATGTTTTCAAGTATATTTCAATAAAAAAAAGTCTTATATTACATTACTGTCTGTTCAATTTTAATTAAATTGTTTTTTTTTTTGTTTTAATATGCAACCAATAAATTTGCTATTACATAAATTAGAAGCTCCGTCAGTTGGATCTTCTGTTTTTTTTATTCAGGCCAGGTTAGGTATTTCCCCTTCAAGTGGCAGCAGCAAGACCTCCTATAGCCTAATTTCTTATTTACTAAGGCTACAGTGTTAACGTAAATTGTGAAAATAAAATAAAGTAAATATGAACAAACAAATCTTTATTTCATTATATTTCAAGAATACAATTTTCTTTGTTTAATTCAAATACAACTGCACAAATCGTTAATACAGATTCCAAAGGAATGTCCTTTAGGCAGGCAATATTCCATACACGAGATATCGTCTGTGGCATCAGAATGGCATACTCCAGGTATTTTCATTCCTGTAAAAAAAAAAATCTTACTAATATTATAAATACGAAAGTTTAGATGGATGGATGGATGTTTGAGTTTGTAGCCTAAACGGCTGAACCGATCTCGGTGAAATTTGGCATAGATGTACAGGATAGTCTGGAAGAACACATAGAATACTTACTTTTTTTTAATACCACGCGGAAGGAGTCGCGGGCGAAAGTTAGTAGTGATCTACAAGATCATGAGTCTTAAAGTAAAATGAATCATTAAAAAGTAACTATTCATACCTTGTTGGAGAAACACATTTGGGTCCGGATTACCGTTGTTTACAGAGACGTAACACGCTAAGACTATAAAAAAGAATAAAAATTTATCGAACTCCATTGTAATTTAATTTAATCTGTATTTTTATATTTACGATGATCCGATGCGAATGAAAGTAAAAGTTCGATTTCTAAGATCAGAGAGATATCTCTCCTATTTATCCAGTCTCTCAAGGCGTTGTTATTTTTAATCAATTTGTTTAAAAATAAATTTATTGTTAAATAAAATAATTTTTGTAAATACTTAACTGCAAGAATTTTATTTACAAAATGTCTTATATTGCATAAAATACCATGACTAACGTTGTTTTACATTAACATACTCGGAAATAGTAAATATTACAATTTACATATGACAATAATTTTGCGTTCTTCTTAGAAATGTACCTTACTCGGCTATCATAGTCACTAATTTGTGTTTCTTTTTATTGTGAAAAATTTTGTGGATGCTGTCGTATTTGTGTACATAATAGGGCTTAAGGTAAACCAGACCCTGATTTTAATATTTCAATAAATTTTGCATGCTCTTTCGAAGGCTTTCGCCCACAACTATGTCCGTGCGGAATTTAAAAAAACAAAAGCATTAGCCTGTGTGTTTTTCCAGACTATCCTCTACATTTATGCCAAATTTCACCTGGATCCCTTCAGCCGTTTAGGCTACAAACTCTAACAAGCATCCGTCCGTTTATAATATTAGTAAGATTAGGGCCAGTAAAACTAAAAGAGATGTTGATTCTAATTAGTACCACTTGGTGGATATAATCACTAATCCTCTATTTTAAGTCATTCTATGGCTTTTGAGTAATTGCACTCTAAGTAATTGTTATCATATCCCTAATTAGACTTTAATTACTACTACTCTACATTCCTTACTTTGTATTTGACATACTTAAACCATGTCAGTATGTCAATTTTTTTATGTTATCTGATTCTTATTTAATACATTAACGATATGTTTCTGAAGCCTAAAATATATTCTTTATAATATAAAGCGGCAAACAAGGAAGCCAATTAGATTCGACAGCGAACAGCAAAGCGAATATTGCCGATAGACATTTGAATAATAATTGAATTGTGTTATAGATGGAGGAGGAGACACACAGAACGAAGAGATCTCCCCTTCATCTGCGTCCCCTTCTCTGTCAAATAAATTTTGCTTTTCCATCATATGCTTATTAGAAAAAGGTAGGAAAGGAAAGTGGAAAAGGCCTCCAGCACACACACTCATTAGAACTCCACATCAAGCCTGTTTTATGTCTGGTCGTTGTATAGCACCGGGCGAGCCGGCTTATTCATGCAAAAATGTTATTGTGGTCTCTTCTACTGATTTCTTTAAATTATACAATTAATAAAACAACAATTTTTTCTTTGGTAATTAATTTATTGAATACATTCATTCTTAAATTATTGTACATAAGTTGTAGATTTTTTTACAGTTTTCTTAAATTGGTACGTCTGTCAAAAATCAAAGCACGTACATATATATCGAAAACAGATGCCGTGTGAAAATCTTTTAGATAGACAATGTTCAAGACAAAAGATGTCTTCAGTCTGCTGATCAAACATGCATCTCACTTTTTCAGGAATATCGTATGCTGAAAAAAAGACATCATTAAATAAATTTTAAACCACGTCCATCGTTATTGCATCGTTATTTTTTAAAAAAATAGCTACTCCAATTAACAATGCAATCTAAAACACTTTAATTAGAAAAACCAAGTTGCACAATACGAAAGTTAAGTACGAACCATCTTGAAGAAACACATTCGGCTTCGGTAAAGCATTACTTACAACCAAACAGTTTATTACAATAATTAAAAAAAGTAAATTTTTAAACCCCATTTCAATATTAATAGTTTAAAAAGCCGCTGATTTTAGAGACTAAAAAAAGCGACCGCAGTACTTAAGCTTTGGACAGGAAATGAAAATGTTTTTGAATATCTCAAGAGAAGTATGCAAATAAACACTATCAGTGTGTCATCCAGTTTTTGTTTTTACATCTTTATGATAACAAATGAATTGTTCTTCGCGATTATTCATAAAAGACTATGTAAACATTTAACTGCCATCAATCTAAAATGTCGAATTTTTTTTTAAATGGAATATTAACAAGGTACTGTGTCAAAGAACGAAATGTCCAGTGCGAGTTGTCGCATATACCGAATAGAAGCTTGATTACTCGTAGTCATAATGATGAGTTGCTTCTGCCGAACCATTTATAAAAATACAAAAGGTTCTTACTTCTATTTGAAAAACAGAGAGACCTATTGAAACGTAAAGATGTTATTTGAGCTACGGCAATGAATTAACGCTACGCTTCTGCACTGTCGCCGCATCGCAGCTTGAAGCAGCACAGGATGTAAGCACTTAATTTTTTTAATTACAATTAAAGGTATTCGTTGGTCTTTCAGTGATGAATAAAATAACAAATGTTTGTTTGTTGTATAATTAATTGAAAATCCACACCATTAGTTTTACACGAACAATATTTTTTACTTCCTATCATCGAAGATTCAATGAAATTATAGACAAGTGCATGTATTTCCGACGCAGATCCCATACAGATATCCTTTAAAGAAACAATCTTTCTGGCACATTTTATCTTCTGTTGGTTCTTTAAACATGCATCTCACTATTTCAGGAATATCGAATCCTGTAAAAAAATTAAAGATTTGATAAATTTTGCGAAATCAACATCCACTTTAGAATGAATTCCAAGTAGACGAAACCGCGAGAAAAAGCCACTGTGGAGTCTATAGGAAACCAAGTAACTAACACAACTAATTTAAGTTAACATACGGACCGGCTTGGAAATATACACTAGGCGACGGTAACGCATTGCTGATATACAAACAACATTTAATAACAATATAAAAGAAAATTAACTTGTTGAACTCCATTTCAATTTCTGTATTTGAAAAAATAAAAGCAGTTAACGATGTAACGAATGTCTTAAACTGAAAAATCTCATACCATGACCGAAGTCTTTATCATTTATAGTAGAAGTAGATGATAATATTTTTTTATTTTTCAAGATAAGTAAAGCAACGCCCGTTATTATTTTGTGTATCGTGCACAATGCAGTTTTTGTCTTGGTATGTATAAGACAACAAAATTGTTTAAAGTGATTATTCATCTTGTATTTAAATTCTTTGGCGCTGATTATTTAAATAAAGATATTTACTGTAAAGAATACGATTAATTATGAAAATAGTTGATAAGAACGTCAGTGGTGTACTCGAATACTAAAAACTGCCTTATAGCTATTATTGAAATAATACTATTTGAAACCAAGGACTTAATTATTTTATATCTTTACGAGTTTATTGAACACACCTATGGAAGTTATTCTTGCAAAATATGTAAAAAAAAAATAGAATAATTCTGTAAACAGTTATCTTACAACTTTAGTTGATTTTTCATTTTTTATCAGGGTTGTTCGAAATTACTTTTTGTATCTATGCTGCATCGATGAAGTTTGTTTTTTGTCAAATGTGACATTGTCAACTTGGCATTTTAAAAAATTGTTATTTTATGGTGCAGTGTTTTTCTAGTGATAAATAATTAAATGTAATAATACAGATTTGCGAAAGTCACATTATTGTGGAATTTCAAAAAATGGTGTATTTACATTTCACTTCAAATTTAACGGAAGAGGAATTAATGCTGCAAGCAAAATATCAAAAATTAAAAAAGAAAAAGAAGGCACTACAAGCGTTGAAGGCACCAAAACAAGAGCCCGAAAAGCCGGTATTACCGAAACGACCAACAGAGGCACGGGATGCTCGAGAAATTGCTCGAAAACTAATAAAAAGTGGTGCAATTCAAGCTATCAAAAGCCCTCCTCCACAACCACAAAATGCTACTTTTAAACGTCCCCGCGCAGGTAAGACTATGTACTTCTGTAATGCACACCTCATAAGAGTGTGAAAATGACTAATTAATACCTTAACATTTTAGGTAGGGAAAGGAAACTTAGTGGGTCAGCAGGTACAGCTGGTGGTGTAGCATCATATCAACCCTTCAGTGCGTCACAAGAACCTCCACCTCCTGAAGAGAAACCTTCTCCTCGTGTCAAATATCTCTATGATTCATTTGTCACAGCCAGAGAAAAGTATTGATCATTTTAAACTCTCTTTTATATCTAACTAGCTTTACTTTAATAAAGATGTATATGAAACTGCAATATTTGTATATAAAATAATAAAAGTTTGGGTTCTGTTACTAAAGTAGAAATAATCTAAAAGATATTTGAATTATTAAAAGTATGATCAAAATGTTTTAAAAGCCGATGTGCATGTTGCAAAATCGATTAAATTTGCCTTTTTGCAGAGAAGAAAAAGCTACTCGTAACCAAGGTGGTGAAACTCCTAATTCAAATACAGCAAAGTGCTGCATGGTACAAGTAACAGGTGCCAATATAACAGAGGAGGTGATCAGGCGAAGACTAACTACATTTGAGCCATTCACATATGTACAGGAGGATGATGAAAAGTGAGTTACTAATAATCCTTGAAATAGACATTGCATTTAAATTAATGACCAGGTTTTGACACATCTCTCAAAAGAAGACTTACTCCTTTTATCAAGTTTTGTTCAGGAAAGGTAATTAAAAAGGTACATTAAAAGTAGAGTATGTTTACATTTAATAATATCTTTTTTTAGCAATATCAAAAAATTTACTTGATACATTCTGATATTTTTATAATAACATACATGATTATTAATTTCAGGGTATTATTGACATTTGAGACACCAGATCTGGCAACACATGCTTTAGCAGCACTGGAAGAGTCTGAAGAAAATTGGAAAGCAACATTGACTCGGCGACCATCTGCAGGGACTTGGGCGACGGCCGCGGCCAATGCACGGAACGCCCCACCGCCGCCAAAAGACACAAAACGGACTCTTCTAACTTATGATGATATATTTGATTGATTTGTAATTATTGCAATGAATTAAAAATTAATGAGTAAATAAAAGAGTTTTTGTAAGGTTTTTCGTTAAACACTGAAGCTGCGATAATCAACTATCGTTTGTAGGTAAAATTATCGGAAATGTATACATTCTTATTTTTTTGCAATTAAAATTAAACGACCCATAGAATAGCGAAGCACTTATGATTAAAGAAGGAAAGTATAGGCAAGGTGCAAAAAGTGGAAGTTCAAACTCTGTAGAATAGTATTCCTGAATATGTAAAAACATTGGGAGTCAAAATTGAGAATTATAAAAAAAATTAGCGATTTTTGAAGATTTGAAACTGATTACAATTTTACTAATTATTATCGAGCACGTGAGATTTTTTTAAAAATTCACGAATGTTCCTCGCGTCTATGCCTTTTAAGAAGACGTCAATGTCACATTGACATTAACATTTAGTGAAAAATAAAGTCTTTTTCGATTTAATTTTGAGTCGGCAAATAAAGATTTTATGTAATTTACGACTTAATAATCGTTTTATTAAAAGATGTTTCGGGTAATCAATAATATTACGCAGTTATGCGTAAACAATTCTTTGAAACGAATATTGCAGCAAGAAAATGGTATCCTAATGGTAATTCAAGGAACCAGAAATTTATCAAGCAGAGGTAAACAGTTTGTTCATGCAATTAACATGCTATTTATATGTAGCCTAACTTTAATCACATTTGTCTATTTCAGCCGATAATGACAAGTTTTCGTTAAAACATGAAGAGGTTGGTCGTCCACTTTATTTTGACGCACAAGCGACAACTCCTATGGTAAGTGTTCCTTTAACCTTGGAACAAATTCTAGGAATAATAATTAGTATAAAAAACTTTGTTAGAGCCAATCAGTGTATATGGAAAGACAATACATGATTAGAAAATTATAGAGTAGTATATCTTGTATAAATATGTTTTCCAGGATCCCAGAGTACTTGATGCAATGTTACCATATTTAGTAAGCTACCATGGAAATCCACATTCTCGAACACACACTTATGGATGGGAAAGTGAAGCAGCAGTAGAGAAAGCCAGAGAACAAGTGGCAAATCTAATAGGAGCAGATCCTAAAGAAATCATATTCACATCAGGAGCTACGGAGTCTAATAATATATCTGTCAAAGGAGTGGCACATTTTTATGCACCAAGAAAAAAGCACATTGTTACAACACAGATTGTAAGTGTAAATATTTTTATAGTTTATTTAAAGTTATTTATGTAATTAAGAGAGCTTATATTTAAAAAGCCAAACTTGCATTTCAGTTCATTTTTAAAAATAATCTAGTGAATATTAATATGTACAATGAAAAGAGTTGCAGTATTACAACTAACATATGAATTTATTTTTGTAGGAACATAAATGTGTCCTTGATTCATGTCGTGCATTAGAAGGTGAAGGTTTTAAAATCACTTATCTACCAGTCGGACCAAATGGAATTATTAATCTACAGCAACTAGAAGAGGCATTGACACCAGAAACAAGTCTGGTGTCAATTATGACTGTCAACAATGAAATAGGTGAAATACAACTTCTAAAAATGTATTTTGCGCTCCTCTTCTAGCATTAGTGCCATTTGATCGGATTCCTATGGACATCTGCAATATCAGGGGAACTGCAGATATATAGATAATACATAGATTTTGTATGTGACAAACATATATAACAAATATGTATTTCAATAACTTAAGATATTTAGGCTATTTACGTAATAAGCCTGTATGTTAAAGTTACCATAAATTATTAGATGTAAAAGTAATATAATTTTATGTAACTCTCAAGTTATTATAATTATAATTTCTCTCTCAATAGTTATAATTTTATCAAGAAACTTTAGATAAAGTTTGTTTGAACAAACTCATTAGGATAGATGCTCTTTTTTCAGGTGTAAAACAGCCAATAGCTGACATTGGAGCGATATGCAAAAGCAAAAAGGTATTCTTCCACACGGATGCAGCTCAAGCTCTTGGAAAAATACCGTTAGATGTTAATAAAATGAATATAGATCTTATGTCAATATCTGGTCACAAAATCTACGGCCCGAAAGGAGTGGGTGCGTTATTCATCAGACGTCGGCCCCGAGTACGTGTGGAACCAATACAAAGTGGAGGTGGACAGGAGAGGGGAATGAGAAGTGGGACTGTACCTACACCATTAGTAGTGGGGTTAGGTAAGTTTTTATGTCACTAATATTATAAATGTGAAAGTTTAGAGGGCTTAATGGATGTTAGTTAGAATTGGTAGCCTAAGCGACTGAATAGACTTCTATGAAATTTGGTATGCATGTAGAGGATAGCCTGGAAGAACACAAAGCTACTTGATTTTGTTTCTTCTTAATTTCACGCGGACGAAGTCGCGGTCGAAAACTAGTATATGTTAAGTTTTAAATATACAATACTTAACATATGAGCCCATTATCTTACTAATATTATAAATGCGAAAGATTAGGTGGATGGGTGGATGTTTGTTAGAATTTGTAGCCTAAATGGCTGAATGGACTTCTATTAAATTTAGTATACATTTAGAGGATAGTCTGGAAGAACACATGACTACTTGCTTTTGTTTATATACAATACTTTATATAGGAGCCCTTAATTTATAATAATGAGTGTTAATATTTGTTATTATAATATTCCTAGGTGCAGCCTGTGAATTAGCACAAAGGGAAATGAAATATGACCATGCTTGGATGGAGAATTTGTCTCAAAGATTTCTAGATAAAATTTATTCCAAACTGTCACATGTGATCAGAAATGGAGACCCGGAACAAACTTATCCTGGATGTGTCAACTTGTCATTTGCTTATGTTGAAGGTAAGAACTACTTTTTACATATACTAAAACTGCAAAAATATAATTTCAATTACATTTAAACACTAATTACATTTCGTTTAGCAATGGTCAAGTACTGAAACACCTCGCTTTGTAAGAGTCACTTAAAATCTGACATTTATTTAATATGTAATTTAGGAGTATCTTTGTGGTATTTAAAACGCTTTTACAAAATGTTGTTTTAGTATTAGGCTGAAGTGTATAAAAACATTGTAAAATATGTAATTGTTTGTTCTTTCAGTTAATTAGGTTACCATGATATTGTTATATACTTAAAGATAAAACTCATAATATATTTATTATTGTTCATTATCAACTATTACATTGATAACTGTCCCTACGTGGTTTTAGTTATTTGAATTACTTATTTCACTGATAATGTAGTTGACAAAAGCAACTCATGAAAAGTATGATGTAATTATAGTAATCAAATTGATCAATCAAAAGGATAATAATAAAACAGTTTGTCGATTTTACCTGTATAACACTGTACTTATTAAAATAGACTAAAAGCACTTATTTCTATTTTGAATCAGGTGAACACAGACAGAAATTCAGGTCCCCCGTTCTATCACACTTGATGGCCTGAAGGGGTTTTATTGAGTCGAACCCCCACAAAACCCTGTCTTTGTCTTAGAAGATAGGGTACTTTTTATGATTTTGCTATGGACAACAAAAAAAGATATATGTTATTAAATGATATTTACGTGAAGTTGCAAAGTGATTCAAAGAATATATAGAGGAAGCATAGTTGACATTTTATTTAAGACATTTTTCACATGATCCACTAACATAGTCTATTGCTACATTTATAAATCTTACTTCTTACTAATGTTATAAATGCGATAGTTTGGATGGATGGATTTTTCTTAGAGTTCGTAGCCAAAACACCTGAACGCAGTTCTTAATGAAAGTTAGTATAATTATAAATTCATTATGTTGAAACTATAATTTTTGCAAAATGTTTTATAACATGTCAATACAAGGACACAAGAGTACTAAACTAGACAACATAGTTCACAGAAGTTACCAGTGAATTTTTTTTGTCCCATATGTCTGGTCTATTTCTATGTCTTTGGTGAGTTAGCAAAGCCAGTTTTCTGATGTCCGCAGGTGAGTCTCTGCTTATGGCCCTGAAGGACGTGGCGCTGTCGAGCGGCTCCGCCTGCACCTCCGCCTCGCTGGAGCCCTCCTACGTGCTCAGAGCCATCGGCACCGACGAGGACCTCGCACACAGCTCTATTAGGTATATCTTGCTTATATCATTAGTTTTCGCCCTCTTCGAATTTAAAAAAAGTATCCTATGTGTTCTTCCAGACTATCATCTACATTTATACAAAATTGCGTAGATATCAGCCGTTTTGGCGATAAACTCTAACAAACATTAATCCATCCATTTAGATAGATGCTTGTTAGAGTTTGTCACCAAAACAGCTAAACGAATCTCGACGAAGTTTAGTATAGATGTCACAGTCTGGGAGAACATATAGACTACTTTGATTTTTTAATTCCACACGGACGGAATCACGTGCGAAAGCTAGTAGTATGATAAACTATGCTGAGTTGACATATCTCTAAAGATTCAGTTATATATCAACAACTTTAATCAGTCCATCGGGAGTCATTTGTTTTAGAATACTTTTAATACACTATAGTGATGTATTTGTGTTCAGGTTTGGTTTAGGTAGGTTCACCACAGAGGAGGAGGTGGATTATACGGCGGAGAAGACGATACGGCACGTGGAGCGGCTGCGCGACATGAGCCCGCTCTGGGAGATGGTGCAGGAAGGGGTCGACATCAAAACCATCCAATGGTCGCAGCACTGAACATATATTTGTATATTAACATATGTAAATGTTAACCAGCATTTCATATTTGTAGAAACTTATTTTTGGCAGATCTGTTTGTGTTTAATTTTTTTTTATTTGTACGTACTGATTTCGAAATTACACGTTATTGTTTACAATTGTTTGATAATAACGATAAATCAATTCCGTATTTGTTAAATATGTCATTAGATGACGAAAATGTTATTGTAAAATTATGAAATTTATTACAAAAGTCAATATTAAAACTGGCGCATTCCACTTTAATGGCCATTTAGGTAATTCCGGAAACAATTGGAATAATAGAATCTTCAATTGAGTATTAATTCCCCCTTTGCACAACTGTAGTAACATTTGCTACTTTAGGTATAGATAGAATACACTGAAAATATTTTATTAAAACAAATAAGCCCAAAAGTATAATGGCGAATAAACGCAGTCTGACAATTATTCTACTATAGATAAGTAGGTTCAAGTGAATAAGCAAAATGTATTGCAAGAATATGTATCACAATTAAAATCCAGAATACACAATAAAATAAAAGATTATTTTTGTTTTTATTTAAACCTCACCTTTTATATTTTTTTATTAAAATTACTACTTCCATAATTTTAAAGAAACGTATTTGTAATATTTAATTTCTGGAAAAAGAATGAAGACCTCGGTTACTCACGTTATGTAATATAATTAAATATATCCGTAAGGATTAACCAATAAATAAAAAAAACGAATATGACACATTTTAAAGCTTTATTAAAGAATTTTAAAATGCACTTCAGCATAAAATTACATAACTCATTGTTACAAATAAAAGAGAGCTCGATTAATGAATGACAATAAAACTGCTACAAAAATATTAGCATACATTTCCATCATTCAATACGGTATTTGAAGCGATGAACACATTATTAAAATTAACATATATGTTTACCATTTGAATAGAAATTTTTATTCATTCCATTATTCTTTTCATACAATCCCAAGGATCAAATAATCAAGAGAAAGGTAAAGTATTAAATAAACGAAATTACTGGATTGTGTCTGGTGTCATTTTTTATTTGTAGTCGAGTTTTTAGAATTTGCTTAGTTAACTAAGGCGGAAACGACATTCTATTCGAGGTTATCTTAAAAGGTGTAAATTAGCACATTATAAAACAAGATTTAAAAAATTACAAAAAGATTGAAAATTAAAACTTGTCAATTTTAGAGAATAGATCTAAATTATTCCGAGACAAATTCTATATAACGAAAAAGAGACTAGAGTTTAGGCAGTAATGTCTTGATAAAAGCATTTATAAAGACAGTACACAGACAGACAATTTTGTAAAATTGTAAGTGTGGTAGTCAATTTTATGTCCATTGAATTTAAAAGATCTAAGTTTGAAATTTTTTTGATCAATGGTAAAACAAAAATACAGGGTTTTACAGTTTATAACTTGGTTAGTATAGCAAAAAGGCAAACTAAATTTATATTAGTATCAAGATTAGTTGTTAATACGGTATAAGTATAATTAATTGAATTTTGTATTTAATCTTGTGAGTAAAAAGCAAATCACACTTTCAGTGATAGGTCACAATTATGCTTATTTTGAATATTACAACATTTCATACCTTGTCAATATAATATTGACTAGTAAAATAATTAATTCTACATATAACTTACACCAATTATTATAGTAAATATCAACAAAAAAAATATAAAAAAATATCAGCAGTACACTACAACATTAACGGATTGTGTCAGGTACTTTTAATATACTATTACATCTTATCATAATAATAAGAAAATAATCCTTAGATAAAAATAACTTAGATATGCAAGAAACATTTGTGAATAAAAAAAAAATATATGACATCAATTGAACCAATAAGAAATTTATCCTATTGGTAAAACACATATGGGCAAAAACCGGCCCACTGTAAGATAACCAGCTCACGAGATATCGTGAAAAAAACCATTTAAATGTATTTGCACACTACAGTTTAGCTCACAACATGTCAAATATTGCCCATACCTGTGGTAAAAGCTGGAATATTTTAAAAATTTTGTCAATTGTATAAAACCTATACCATAAATGATATCTTTTGTATTAATAAAAATGTATACAAATCCAAATATTCTTATGAGCAAATTTTCTAGCAAAAGCCTAATTATTGAGTATTAATTATAGCAAATCATCTACCAATACGCAAATACTCCAAAAATAATTCTTATGTAAATTACAAATACAGAATAATTATTAAAACTGTTATCATTCAATTAGGCCATGCTGAATACACACGACAGTAAATAATTCATATCAGAGTTTGTAAAATACTGGATACGTGTAAATTATATACATAAAAAAGTAGACATTAGTCTATGGTCTAACAACTACAATGGGGTTCTTCTGGAGGTTCAGGCTGAGTTATTTTAAAACTGTTATGGTCTAAAGTCTGCAGCTCTATCCTAGACCTGTTAGAATCTACTAACTGTAGAGCAATATCAGAAAACATTTCTTCCAATCCCTTACCAGTTTTACAAGATGTTTTATATGTAGTACTGATAAGATTGTGACACTGTTCACTGAAATAGGAAATATATTTAAGAAAGAACACTCTAAAATTAACACATATGATTTTTGTTGGAGAAAAAATTGGCCAGGCAATATATGTGTTATTTAAATTGTGGTAGAGAATGCAATAACATATTTATCATAAATTTGCTGATCTGATACTACAACCACTCTGAAGACAGCCAAAAAGTAATTCTGCATTTCATGTAATGACTGTGCTAGATGCCTAACCTCTTCCTTTATTCATAATTTGTATATTACAAAAGGATAAGAAGTGGTCTTGGCCGGTCTATAGGCATAGGTCAATTCACTATTTATTCAAATGTTACTAGTTGCTTGCTCATTTGTCATCTTATCATATAAAATAGGTATGATATAAAAAGACTTACCAAAAGTTTTCTATATCTGCATCAGTTACTTGTGGTGATGATCCTTCCAAGTCAGATTTATTTCCACATAAGAATATTTTTGCATTCTCAGCATATGTTACTATTTCTAACAAATGTTGACTTAACACATGGAATGAAGATGCATTATCCAATGAAAACACCAGTATTGCTGCTTCAGCAAATTTGTAATAACTGGATGTTACTGATGCTATTCTCTCCATACCACCAGTGTCCCATAACTGTAACTAGAAGTCACATTCATGTTTAATGACTTTATAACTGCCAACACAGTTTTTAAGAATAACTTTTATTGACATGACTAATTTAACTATGTGATCTATAAAAAGGTAAAGGATTATCAAACTTTTATTTAATAAAAACGTTTCAGCATTGCTTTCATGTTTTTTTTAACAATACACCAATTAATATAATTAAGAATAATGATGTAAACTGCTTTTATATATTTCAAAGTTTACATTTCACATGATATGTTGCATTATGCTACTGAAAATCGTAACAGGTTTTTAATATTTTTAGGAAGGAGATTAATTACATACTTTAACGTCCTTGTCGGCGACTTGATAGAGCTTCTCGAAATGATCTAATCCTAATGTTGATCGTCTGTCTGAGCTTGGTACAAATGTGTTGTTTATAAAACGCCTGAAAATTGAGCTTTTTCCAACACCATATTCACCACATAAAATAACTTTGAGTACTGGTGTTTTCACAATAGCCATTGCTGTTAATTTATGTTTTGCCTATTTTTTACTTATGAATGGGAAAGAATATATATTTAGAACTGTTTTAAAAAGCTTGTATTTACAAAAAGAATACTGAAAGTTATTATTTCGCCGATAATGTAATCCAATTGCTGCCAATATTAATCCTTAATTTTAAGGATTTTAGGCAATTTTTATTTGCAATTAGTCAATGTCAAACTCTTTGACACTTATTCTTTTTTTTGTTTTTGTAGCACAGCCGTAAAAAATCTTGTTGCCTTTATGTTTGAAATTTCTTTGTGATATATCTTTACGAAATATAATTATTAACACCACTCAACAATAAATGCTTTGCCAAAATAAACATGACGTATAAAGACATACCCCAATTTTTAGACAATGTCAAAAAATTCATTATTTTATTTTCATAGTTTATATCACTGTCTCACGGGTCTGCCTGTCTGTCAAACTGTCAACTGTCAGTGTCATCGGATCTCATCGCGTCCAATCGCGTCCTTAATATATTCATTGATTGATTTTTGCATTTTTGCGATGCAAACGCAAACAACAATTGCAATGCTGCATTGGTGAAGCAGTTTTATAAATTTGGAAATAGCCGTAAATAAAAAAAGCTTTATGACCTTTGCTTTTCACTGAAACTGACAAAGTAATAGATGTTGTGTTTGTGGCAGTATTCTCAGATAAAACATAAATGAATCAACAAATTTGAACTGTTTATTAGAATTCTATTATGGAAGTACAAACATCTCATTTGGCTGCAGCCTTAATGTCCACTACTAGCACATTTAATAACAATGTTACAACTTCGGAAACAATACCGGCCGTGTCAAATATCGGACAAGATGAAAACAAAAATGAAAAACCAAGTGAATCTAACAAGGAACCTTGTGAAGAAGAGAAAGAAGAAGCTGGTACTGGAGATGAATTTTCTGATGAGGTATTTCTTGTAATATTTTACTACAAGCTACTTTTACAAACACTTGTAAATATATTTTTTCTCTCTTCAGGAGTCGGAAGCCCAGCCTGGAAATAAGTCAATGCCTGGAAGAGGAGTGACTCTACAAATGCTTATGGATGAAAAAATGTTAGTTCCTGGAATTGCTGCTATGACTATTGAATATTTGGTAGTGTATTTAACTGAATTTTTTTGATACTTTTCTTTCAATTAAAGACTTATTTTTATTAAAATTATTTCCAGGGCCAAAAATTTGTAGGCGATTTGCAAGCAGATGGTAAAATAAAATCTCATGAAACTGAAACAATTTTTTGTTCACCATCTGCATGGGCTATACATTGTAAGAGAATTATAAATCCAGACAAGAGGTCTGGATGTGGCTGGGCATCTGTTAAATATAAAGGGAAGAAATTGGATACTATTAAAGCTACTTATCTTCGTAGGAAGCAATTGCAGAGGGAAAATATGCACACTGATGGTATAATCACTATTTTTTACATGATTCTCTATTACCCATGATTTTAATTGAATAATTGTCTATGTTATGATTATTGAATAAATAAATTTCATGTCTCTTTATTTACAGAAGAGAATGAAATGGAAGTTGAAAGTCCTCCAGAGCCACCTCCACAAAGGGTTGTAATGAAACACAACACTGTTCCAAACAGAATGATGCAACAGTAATAATTACTTCATAATAATATTTATATAGCAATTATACCATAGATAATTTTTGTATATTACTTTGTTTCAGTGATGCCAATATGTTGATAGAGGCAGTATCATTCTCTACAGCTGGAAAAGTTCAACCATTCTTGGTGTCAGTAAGCTCCAATGCTTCTCTAGTGCTTGATCTTCATTGTCATTTGAAAAAAGAAGAAGTTCATGGTTATTTAGCTGGAACATGGGATTTAAACAGTCATAGTATGTATTTAATAAATATAATTAATATTTTTCATTGTTGGTGAAGTATCAATTTGTGTTAATAAAATTAATATTTTCAGCTGTGATGATTACTCACACATTTCCTTGTTTGAAAAGTAAGAATGATCCAAGACCTAAAGTGTTGATCGAACTTGAGATTCAAATGGAAATGGAAAGACTTGGGTTGACATTATTAGGGTGGTATCACTCGCATCCAACAAACCCAGCGATGCCAAGTCTAAGAGACTGTGATAATCAACTTGAATATCAGATTAAAATGAGAGGTCCATCAGAAATTTCTTATGTACCATGCATTGGTGTAATCTGCTGTAAGTAAACTATTTGTATAATAATCTGCATTAAATTATTTGTTTTTCAATTTATTGCTTTTTTCCAGCTCCGTATAATCCCGAAAGTCCAGTTTTCGAATCGTCTTTAACATTCTTTTGGGTGATGCCGCCGCCGGAACAAAGACCCACAGAATATCCACGCCCTCTATTTCTTCAATACAACATGGTTCACGATACTCACCTGTCACAACATGCAATGGAACAGATTAAAAATACAATCAAGTATTACTTCAATTACGCAGATGAAACATTCATCAAGTTTAAAGATAATTACAAGCCTGATATAACATATTTGGATAAGTTGAAGTCCACTTTGACACCGAAATTTCCAAGAGAACAAAGTGATGGTTTGTTGTGGCATTTCATTCGCGATGAATTAGGTTGTTCATCGGAACAAGATGAGAAAATAGACTTGGATGCTCTTTTAGCTGTTCCCCAGGCGATTCCACCGCCTAAAACTACGCAATCCACATCAATGTCTAATTTCCCTTCAGTTAGTACTCTTCAGCAGATGGTCAGTCGGCCGGCTGGTGTTCCACCTATAAACGTGTCATCTGGCATAGGTTCCATATCTCCTCATAAATTTGAAACTCCTCAATTGAATATTCCTGTATTACCGACGTCGTCCAAATCTTCAAAATCGAGCTCATCTTCATTATCCTCTGCGTACCCTGGCTTAGATATGTTAACGAGCATGGCTTTAGGATTGGGATCTGCGAATATGCCACTTCCATTAGGAGCCGGTGGTTTAGAAAGCTTAGCCGCAGCCAATAGTATGCTAACAGGACTTTCACCCGGGCTATCGTCGAACTTAGCTGCGAGTCTCTCGAGCACCAAATTATCGGATCCACCATCTTATGCTGCGTCTTTACAAAATCTAACAAGTATGGCTGCTTATGAGAAAACTTCTACGAGTACCTCAACAAGCAATACGACTTCTACTGCACCGATCCCAGCTAGTATAGCTTCTAGCCTCATGATGAGTTCTGCAGATATAGCTAATGCATTATTTTCTGCGAGCAAGTATTCCAGTGCCGGTATCCTAGGCATACCAGATCCGATGTCAAAGTCGACTTTAGCCGCCAATAATATGTTCTTAACACCATCTTTGTTGAAAATGCAAGAGTCACTATTAAAACCTCTAGCTAATAGCAGTCCTATTTCTTCAAAAGTTGGTTTAGATCAGAATGTATTGATGAAATCACCGCATGATTTATTGAAGAGCAGTAAAGATTATTTACCTCCAGATTTTGGTAGCATCGGTAAAGGTAAAATGGAAAGTCCGTTGGATACAGGAAAACATACAGAGAGCTCGTCGAAAGCTGATTCTTCTAAGCCTATCGCTTTGACATCGGATACGGCGACTGATTTTAGTATGCCGTCACGGGTTGGTGGGGAATCATTTTTGAATCAAATGCTAGAGTTGACTAAGAAGACTACGATGTCAGATTACATGTCCGATTATAATCAGCCATTAAAATTGTCTGAAGAAGAAGTTTCGAGTGCTCCACAATCGAGTCATTCCTACACAAATACGTCTAGTATTGTAGACACTATTGCGCAGGTAGCGATGGGAAATTATTCCAAGATGGACGACGTTATGGATTACACTAAAGGACAAGATTATAGCACCTCTAAAAACTCCTCGAATGACGATAATTAGGATAACTCATTAAACCGTAATGTTAAAAAAATAAATTTTGCATTTATCTGATCTGGATTTTTAGACTGATATAATTTATTAAGATTTCCCTATTGACTGTTAGTCGATTTTGTATTAAACGTAGTATTATAGGTTTAAAATATAGGTTTAGGTTTTACAGTTGTAAGTGATGTTTTAATTATTACAAATATACCTATTTAAAAAATTATATTGTTCATTGATTGTTATAACCAGTCTGTGTTTGTCGTCCTTTAACAAATTGAAAACTGACATATTTATTACTTGTAATGAACTAGGTATCTACCAATCTTATATGTGGCAAGAGTAATAAAAAGTAATTTAATCTAAAATTTCGTTTCTTTTATAATCCTAAAGCCTTCCACTCAAGTATAGTTTTTTCATTTAATGCGAATTTTCCGAAACAAATTACAATACACACTGTACACTATCTGTGTACACTGCATAATATCATTCCTGTGCTGTTTTTTTATATAAATACCTTACAATGTTTTTATATTGAGTCATTTTATTATCTACGTAGAATTTCTAGAGGGTGTGATTAACCCAAAGATAATTGCTATTGTTTCAATGTCGCTTCAATCGATCACTCACCAATTAGAATCCTGATTGTTAATAGATAAATTTTAATCAACATGAGATAATAAAATGACGTTTGCATGATAAAAGTACTTTTCTTGTAATCACACATTCTTATCAGTATTGATTGAACAACAAACTCGGTATTGTTTTTGTGATGTGTTAAAACTTTTAAACGTTGAAAGTGATGAAGTGCTTGTAAATTAAGTGTCCTTAAGTGCATTGTGGGATTTACAGGTCAGCCTGTTTCGTAAGTGGTACAAATTTCAAACTTGTAACTAAAATGATATTAAAGTTTTTGTTTTAAACACGCGAGACAATTGTTGTGCTGCTCTTTGAGCATATTTCTTCATATTTCATCTACGTTATGAAAATGTATTATAATTAATTATGTAATTTATTAAAAAACACCGTATGGCGAGAAAATAAAAGTTTACATTTTATACAGATTTTTTTATAAAAGTCTACTGTTAAAGTAGTTTGTAAGTTCTTGTAAACGTGGTTTATTTTACGAGTAATTGCTTCGTCTTGTTCAAATGATAAATTTTACTAACGTTATAATGTTTTGTTATACACATAGCTAAAATTGATAAGAAAAGTTTTCTTGAATCGTCATTTAGTCTACGAAAAATAAATGATTTTACTTTTTGATTGGTATTTTGCAACGACTCTTGTGTTATGCGTAATAAACCAAACCGTAGCAGAATATCTCAGCAAATATTACCTGCGCGAGCGCAAGAAAACAAAATCACTGTGTTAGATAGTGTGGAGTAAGTAGAAAGTTTAGTAAGTACTTGCTAAGATTCAACATAGTCCTTTATGTGTTTCAGTGATAGGTAATGGCAACAACTCCAGGGTTCAAAGACCTTCAAGATGACAGTGATCAGTCGGATTCAGAATTTCAGCCGCTTTACGACGACACTGACGAATTAGAGTACGTTTTATATCTTACCTCTTACTAATATCATAAATGCGAAAGTTTAGATAAATAGATGGATGGATGTTTATTAGAGTTTATAGCCTAAACTGCTGAACAGATCTCGATGAAGTTTCACATAGATGTAGAGGATAGTCTGAAAGAATACATAGGCTACTTGCTTTTGTTTTTTTAAGTCAACACAGATGTGGCGGGCAAAAGCTAGTAATGTTTGCTTAGTTTTTTTTCATAATAAAATTAAACAACGTAACAATGTGTTGACTCTCTTGGATATTAAATTAATATGTGTGAAATCCCTATTATCTGAAACCGACTGAAGTCACCAGTATTTACACAATCGGGTTAAATAAAACTTTGAATAAAATTGTTGGACAAGCATTTTCAGTTTTAAGGAACTTTTTTTTGTTAAAATAACATCAAAGTACCAATTAATGACGTTCGCCCTACTATTTATGTTATGAATTTACCTTATTCCATTCTTGAGAAATTAATTATCATGCCAATATACACTGATAATAGCTACTCGTATTATTGCAGTTATCACTTAGATCTCATAGATTATCGTTATATTATTCCTTTGTAGAGATTTTGATTTATTTTTGATTCCCTGATTAAATGTTAAAGTCAATCGAAATGTGACTATCTTTGAAAATAATTACATTACGGTTTTTTAACAGCCAAAGAACAGCACAAGAGACAAAAGGATGGAATCTGTTCCGAGAGATCCCTGTGAAGAAAGAGAGTGGGTCGATGGCATCGACGGAATGGATCGACATAAGTATGAAGGTGTTCAAGGTATTGGCATATATTTTCACCTTCGCGGCTGTTTTGGGGTCGGCTGTTATAGCGAAAGGAACTCTGCTATTTATAACTTCGCAACTCAAGAAAGATCGTCTCGTCAGCCATTGTAATAGAGCTTTAGGTAATAAACTAGCGATTATTGGATAATTTTAAACTAAATAAAAACAGCTACATACAACTAATAAATACTGGAGTATATCTGTTTATAATATATCACTATTGAATGTTTTTCTTGTACAATTCAATATATTTAAATAAAATTTACGTTAATTTGTTTTAGCTCTGGATAAACAATTCTTAGCAGTTCTCCCGCTAGAAGAGCGAGTGTCATGGCTTTGGGCTGTGTTGATTGTGTTCGGTATACCAGAATTGGGCATGTTTATTAGATCAGTACGAATTTGTTTTTTCAAAACTGCAAGAAAACCGAGCAGATTGCAATTCATTATAGTAAGTAATGTATCAAAGAATTTTATTAAACAAATCCATTATAGAGTTGAAGTTACAGTTTCCATTGACAAAGACAAGAAATGTAAATACATTTTTTAAAAGTCGTCTCTTTTTAAGGTCCTTTATACACGTGCTTTGGTAATGTAACGGTTAACAAAAATGTGTCCTTAGTTACGGCTTAACTGAATTAAATAATTAATTAAAACTACTGTTTCCAGGCTTTCCTAATCGAGACATTACATGCAGCCGGGGTTGCTATATTAACCCTCATTATCCTGCCTGAATTGGACGTGGTTAAAGGAGCCATGTTATTAAACTCTCTATGCTTCGTACCCGGACTTCTCAACGCATTAACCAGAGATAGTAACGAAAGTCGATATTTAATTAAACTTATTCTGGATGTATTTGCCATCTCTGCACAAGCGACTGCATTCGTCGTCTGGCCACTTCTAGACGGTAGCCCAGCTTTATGGTCCATACCGGCCGCTTGTGTTTGCATCTCGTTGGGATGGTGGGAAAATTATGTGGACTTTACCGAAAACAAAACATCCTGTACGTATTAAACTTAACTTTGGTTCATCAACTTTTAAAGCACTTGTTTAACAATATGTTGGCATACTTCTCATTCCCTTAATAAGTGAGACAGAAATGTAATTATTAATGTAATACAAGCGTTCCGGCATTTTACGGTAATTAGTACTATAATGCTACTTTAATATTTGTGTATACAGTATGTATATTTTTTAGTTATTTTCTACTATTTGTGCGAATTAAAACTGGCACTCAAGAAAACAAGGTATTATACTCAGAGAGTACTTTCTTTGTGGAAGATTTGCGTGTTTATGGTTTGCATTATAATTTCACTGCACGTTCAAGACGACAATCCTTTCGCCATCTTCACATCTACCAGCGAGGCTTTCGCACCGCGCAACTATAGTGTCTACGAGGTAAGTTATATACTAAAAATCTTGAAGAAACAAAAAGTTTTTGAACTTTACACATTCAAAAATATCTACAATTACTACATTTTGAATTTTGACAGTCAACATTTAATTTGTAATTCGTTATTTTATGATGACCTTTAATAGTCTGAAGGTTATTATAGACCGGTACGTTTGAATCTAATATCTACATTTTTGAAAGAGAAGACGATCTTTTAATAATTTATTTAAGAAGGATGAATCATAGATGTTTTAATAAAATGTTTTATTTTAGCTTAGAGTAATATTCGAAGATGCATACGACGGCAACTTGGAATTCGATTTATCAGAGGCGGCATTCTACTTACCTGTTTCGTGGACGTCGCCGCTTTGGGTGGCTCTGATACAAGTGGCGGCGGCATATTTCTGTTACGCGAGCGCAAAATTCGCCTGCAAAATCCTCATACAAAATGTCAGCTTCACATTCGCATTGAGCCTCGTCGGACCGGTTCTAGTCAATCTGTTGATCGTATTCTGTGCGATGAGAAATGCGAATCCTTGCGCGTTTCACGGGACAATACCTGATTATTTGTTCTTTGAAATACCACCAGGTTAGCGAGATTTTTAAATGTAACATTAAAGCGAAGTATATTTTATTCATAGTATGATATACAAACTTTAGCCCGCGACTTCGCTTGCGTGGAATTGAAAAAAAAAAACAAAAGTGAATAGCCTATGTGTTCTTCCAGACTATCCTCTACATCTATGCTAAATTTTATTGAAATCCGTTCTGTTGTTTAGGCTTAAAACTCTAACAAACATCCATCTATTCATTTATCTGAACTTTCGCATTTATAATATTAGTGTGATTAAAATAGTAACAGCACACATTACATTTGTTTCACCTGACGCTCTTCTTTTGTTTTGGAAGTTAATGAACTGCAGTATTACTTAAGATTATATATAAAAAAGGACTGAAACTTCATTTGCAAATAGTACTAGTTGAAAGTATACGACTGTTACTAAAATCTCATACCAGGAATCGCCGCTTAGAATCTCTATAGTGTCATTGGAGTCTACTGTCCAGTCAGACATACTAATCGAGAGGAGTCAAATCATAGATAGAACAACGATCATTTGCTGTACCGACTTACATTAGGTTTTTATAGTTACAATTCATATCACGTTTAACGTAATACAACGTTATTGTGCAAATGATCTAAGATAACACTGTTTATATAACTAAAATTAAATGTTACTAAGGCTTTAAAACATATGCTTTCAGTTTACTTTTTAAAAGATTATCTAGGCAATGAGATGGCTTGGATCTGGTTGTTGTGGTTGGCATCTCAGGCGTGGATAACAGTGCACACGTGGATGCCGCGCTGCGAACGTCTCGCTGCGACTGACAAACTGTTCGCCAAGCCGTGGTACCTCGGACCATTAATTGATCAATCACTACTATTGAACCGTACGAAAGACGACGAAAATGACATACCGATTGAGGTAGATTTTAATGCATGAGGCTTAAAAGACTTTTCTTTATAATTTTTTAATTAAAACATTCTTTTTTTGTTGCATAGGACTTGAGGGAACTTCAAGATGAAGATGATCGATCTCATGCAAGTTCTGAACAAGTGGCTAAAGATATAAAGCCCTCTGATAGTATAACAAGGTACAATTTTATATTTCTGTTAAACTCCTTGTTTGGCATTACGCTTAAGTGAGTATTTTTGTAAAAATAATACATTTTTACTATAGGATTTACGTTTGCGCAACCATGTGGCATGAAACAAAGGATGAGATGATGGAGTTTTTAAAGTCTATTTTCCGCTTGGATGAAGATCAGAGCGCGCGTCGCGTGGCTCAGAAATACCTGGGTATTGTGGACCCTGACTATTACGAACTGGAAAGCAAGTATTACTATGTCGAGTCCTTGGACTTGAAATATAAACCTGATACTTTCTAATTGTGGTTCAATCGGCTGATGTTTTTTTTTATATGTACATAGGTCACATATTCATGGACGATGCTTTCGAAGTCTCAGACCACAGTGCAGAAGATTCTCAAGTGAATCGCTTCGTTAAATGTTTAATAGATACTATAGATGAAGCGGCTTCTGAAGTGCATTTAACAAATGTACGGCTCCGACCACCTAAGAAGTTCCCCACACCTTATGGTGGCAAGTTAGTTTGGGTTCTACCAGGAAAGAACAAAATGATATGTCACTTGAAGGATAAATCTAAAATAAGACATAGGAAACGATGGTCTCAGGTAATTTGTACAAGATAGTTATACTTTTTAATTAGATAGGAAATAAAATATGTGACTATGTAAGACTGCCTTGATTTTTTTCAGGTGATGTACATGTACTATTTCCTAGGTCACCGATTGATGGATTTACCGCTATCTGTGGATCGGAAGGAAGTGATCGCAGAAAATACTTACCTGCTCGCGTTGGATGGTGATATTGATTTTAAACCTTGCGCTGTCACATTACTAATAGATCTAATGAAGAAGGACAAGAACTTGGGAGCTGCTTGTGGACGAATTCATCCTGTTGGTTCTGGTAAGCTAAAAAACTGTTTCTTAATTTTGTAATTCTGTTTTTACTTAATTGTATCCTACACTAATTACAGATGTTCAACATGTCTTAGACAAAATTATATTTACAATACTTTCGTTTTTCAATCTATTTATACTTATCGTAGGTTTTATGGCGTGGTATCAAATGTTCGAATATGCCATCGGTCATTGGCTGCAAAAGGCGACGGAACACATGATCGGCTGCGTGCTGTGTAGTCCGGGATGCTTCTCGCTCTTCAGAGGGAAGGCTTTGATGGACGACAATGTTATGAAGAAATACACATTGACATCAAATGAGGCTCGTCACTACGTACAGTACGATCAGGGTAACACACAATTTGTAATAAAAACAAAAGTTTAATGGCTTATGTGTTCTTGTTACGTAGGTCTGCAAATCAAGAAAACGGTCTTGTAAATTGGTGTTTTTCATATACATCGTGGTAGGCGAGGACCGATGGCTGTGCACCCTGCTGCTGCAGCGCGGCTACCGAGTGGAGTACTCCGCCGCCTCGGACGCGTACACGCACTGCCCCGAGCGCTTCGACGAGTTCTTCAACCAGCGGCGCCGTTGGGTGCCTTCCACTATTGCTAATATCTTCGATCTGTTGGCGGACTCTAAACGCACCGTCGAAGTTAACGATAACATATCTACCCTCTATATTGTATACCAGGTACGTTTATTCTGAATATTTCCAATGGTTCATGGGTTATTTTGACTGCCTAAATATCACAACCAGTATACGACGTAAATTATAAATTGTATAGTAATCAATTTGCTTTAGACGCTGCTCATGATGGGCACAATCTTGGGTCCAGGCACGATCTTCCTGATGATGGTGGGCGCGATGAATGCGATCACCGGCATGAGCATCATGAACTCTCTGCTATTAAATCTTGTTCCGGTGCTCGTATTTCTTGTGGTCTGTATGACTTGCAAGTCTGAAATACAGGTGCGTGTTTTTCTTTACATTTTACAAATTTCTTTTGATTTGTAAGCTAACGACCTAATGCTAATCGATGTCAATTACTTTTATTCGCTTATTAGTAGTATTGCTAAATGATTTATTTGTATTGAATAAGTAGTCGAATACATTTCGAATAGAATCTGAAAGGAGGGGGAATATACATATATGTAAATAAATCGGTTAAAATACCAAAGACCTAGGAACTTCTTGAATATTAAGAAGTCTTATAGCTTCGTTAATGTTTTCAGATAATGCTGGCTAACGGTATAACATGTGTATACGCCATGCTAATGATGATGGTGATCGTGGGTATAGCACTACAAATAGTAGAGGACGGCTGGTTGGCGCCCTCCAGTATCTTCACAGTTATCACTTTCGGAATATTCTTCTTGACTGCAGCATTACATCCACAGGAAATTATCTGCTTATTATATTTGGGCGTGTATTACATAACTATTCCAAGCATGTACATGTTGCTCATTATTTATTCGTTGTGTAATTTAAATAACGTATCGTGGGGCACAAGAGAAGTCGCACAGAAGAAAACACTCAAGGTAAGAAAGAAAATTTTAACGGAAATATCTGTTGGACATTTCGAAGACCAGTGTTGTTTAATACATTATTTTTCAGGAATTAGAAATGGAAAAGAAAGCTACAGAAGAAGCGAAGAAGAAAATGGATACTCAAGGAATGATGAAATGGTTTGGTAATAAGTCGGAGGAAAGCAGTGGTTCTTTAGAATTCAGCGTCGCGGGCCTTTTTAAATGTATGTGCTGTACGAACCCTAAAGATTACAAGGAAGATTTGCATTTGCTTCAGATAGCCAATTCTCTTGAGAAACTTGAAAAGCGCTTGGAATCACTGTACGTAAACAAATGAAAAGACATAATTTTTAATTAACAAGTAACGATTGTGACAAGCCCACACTTGTGTGATTCGGGAATTAAATCAAAAGTCAGATACTGATTATCAGATTACCTTATATTGGAGAGTTTATTTTGCTTGTGAATTGTTTAGGGGTGCTCCACCGGAGATGGAGGCTGCGCCTCGGCGGCGCTCTTCTATGCCTCTCCGGGGCGATACTCTGTCCATGCTGCCAGAATACGCAGATAGTGAGGGTTCTGCTGATATTCCGAGGGTTTGTAAATTGTTTTTTTTTTTAGGTATTTTACATACTTTGCGTTTAAGACACAACTTTATTTGATTATCTACTTATTTCCTTTATTTTTTTTATCTAGGAAGAAAGAGATGACCTAATCAACCCCTACTGGATAGAGGACCCGAATCTGCAAAAAGGTGAAGTAGACTTTTTGACAACAGCTGAAACTGAATTCTGGAAGGATTTGATTGACGCTTATTTGCGACCGATTGATGAAAACAAGGAGGAACAGGTAATACTTCGGGTCTTGGCTTATAATTAATAGTAGAAAATATTGGAAACTTTCATGAGATTGTGTGTATTTTAGGAGCGTATTAAAACAGATTTGAAAAATCTACGCGACACAATGGTGTTTGCATTCGTGATGTTGAACGCGCTGTTCGTGCTGGTTATATTCTTGCTGCAACTCAACCAGAGTCAGTTGCATTTCAAGTGGCCGTTCGGACAAAAGATCGGTATTATGTATGACGACGAGACAAACATAGTGAGTTTCCTTCTTTAATTTATGTTTTTGATATAACTTTCAGTGATTGACGAAAAAGTATTGGGATTTTTATATTTATTTTATAGGTGTTCTTAGAACGTGAATATCTGATGTTGGAACCAATAGGGTCTTTGTTCCTGATCTTCTTCGGTACAGTAATGGTCGTTCAGTTCGTTGCAATGTTGTTCCATCGACTCGGCACTCTTACTCATTTGCTGTCGACGGTCCAACTCAATTGGTACTTTACGAAGAGGGTGAGTTGAAAATATTATCTTAAGCAATGGTCAAAATAAAATGCATCATTATCCTTAACATCTCAATTAAGACACCTTTCTAGGACAGAGGGAAAATTATAACATGAGGCTCTAGAAAGACCCTTATGTATTTATTATTTTTTTGACTTTAGTGTCTTATACATCTGAAGTTTACTCAAGCTATAGTGATAGTTTTGAATTATGTGTTATGTGTTTTATGTATAGGCTGACGAAATGACAGAACAGGCGATGATAGAAAAGCAGGCGATAGAAATAGCGAAGGACCTCCAGAAGTTAAACGTGGACGATCTGGAGCGGCGCGGCGTGGACGAGGCGAGCGTGGCGCGCCGCAAGACGCTGCACTACCTCGAGCGCGCGCGCGACAACAAGCACAGCGTCATCAACTTGGACGCCAACTTCAAGAGGCGGCTCACTTTGCTTCAAAATGCTGATCCAGGTTGGTTTACACATTTGCTCTCTAGATATACAGTCGGTAAGCGTAGATTTCTAATTTAATATTAACATTAGAGATTTATTTTAGGGTCCAATTAACGACTTCTTGTATTACTGAAAGTATGAATCAACGAATCTATTAGCGTAGGAAGACCAATAGTAAATAAGTTGATTGTTAATCATTTTCTAACTTGCGTGTTTGCGTAGCAGTACTTCTTATGCCCACTGTTTCTAAGATCGTCTTAGATTAATAGTGAAAAGTGCAGGCCGATCTTTATTTTGATTATTGAGGGGTCAAACGACAATGGACGTCCAATTTATCAGCCGATGGTAGAGTATATCCTACCTACCATCATCCATGCCACACCGACCCTCAAGGCATACGGTCCGAATTGTGGGAGGGCTCACACGGTCTGACCGCATGTACTCTGAATCCCTACAAGTTATATCGTCTATTAATTTGTGACTTGTCTCTTCTTAATGAGCAAGACGACACAATGGACACGGATATGTTCGCCATCGGGCATATAATCCAGCGTCTACTCTAGTCTATATCTTCGCTGATACTAAAGTAAATATACTTTGTTATGTGCAGATATGATAGCTCGGATGCCGTCGCTGCGTGGCAGCGTGTCCGCGCGGCGCGCTACACTGCGTGCGTTACAGGCTCGCCGCGAGTCGCTGACTGCGGAGCGGCGCCGCTCGCAGCTGCAGCGAGACTCCACAGCCTACCTGTACGACGAGCCTAAGACCACGGTACGTTCTATAATAATCATCCTCTGCGAGTATATCTCCGAGGGACTTGAAGCCTCCGCAAGTGAGAGGTGACTAGGTGTAGGCAACCACACTAGCCCAGTACGGACGGAAAAATCAATAATATGCTTACTGTATATAAAGTAATAATTACCCAGTAATTAATTTTAAAATACCATTTGACTGTCCTTTGACAATTCGTTGAATACAAAGCAAATAACCAAACACTTCAAAATCAATATAACGGAATAATTAGAGGGAAATAATAACGGTCGATTGCTAATTGCCTTGCATATGCCTTGCACTAGTTTGTTTATTATGCAAATATAACATTTATCATATTTTCATTATATAGATTAATCAAAACAGTATATAACTTTTTATGCTTTAGAAATTCAAATAAAAATATATTGAATAGCAATACTTTTTAGTCATCTTCATACCTAAAGCTTGTAGCTCGTGAAAAGGTTACCTGGTACAAGGCCGAATTCCTTTTTATGACGTCATGCTTTAATATTAAAATCGTTTTCAGTTACTATCACACTAAAACAAAATATTTTAATTCTTGCCGTATTTGTCGCAAGCTATAGCATTAAAAAAATAGACAAATAGATATTTTTATTTTTACAAAATAGTGAGAAATGTAGTTGTGTAATGACATCGTGACGGGAAATGTTGCATTGCAAACTCGTATGAATGCGCAAGTCCACTGTTGCAAACCTCATTAGCCTGTATAACTCATTTAACTTCCTTAAGCCAATAAATATGACATTAAAAATGAACTAGTTAAAGATATCTATCCAATTGTAATCTACTAGCTTTCGCCCGCGATTACGTTCGGGTGGATTTTTTAAAAAAAGCAAGTTCCCTGTTTATTCTCCCAAACTATCCTCTACATCTGTTCCAAATTCCATCAAGATCCAGTTAGCCGTTTAGGCTACAAACTCGAACAAACATACATTTATCTAAACTTTCGTATTTATAATATTAGTATATTATTGCTGTAGTAGTCATTTAAATATCATTCTTTGAATAAGTCGAATGGGATTTAAATCCCGTAAATAAAATTGAAACCTATAAAAACCCAGAACATTTTTTGTACGTTAATATGAAAACCGTTATCACATTATTATCATAATAATCGTACATTTGTTTATACGAATGTAGGATAGTAGTAAATGCTACGTTTTATTTAGCAATTATTTTCATGGTCCGCTGACTTAGGTGGTACTTGCTAACTAAGTCAAGGGCTCTGAGTTCGAATTACGCGCCGTTCCTTATTTTCTTGACGAAGTATGAGAACTTTTCTATTTCGTAACTGGCTGGTTTCGCCCGGGAGTCTGTCCACGTGAAATTAAAAAAAGCAAAAGTAAGTAACCTATGTGTTCTTCTAGACTATGTTATACATCTGTGCCAAATTTAATCCAAATCCGTTCAAGCGTTTAGGCTATAAACTCTGACATACATCCATCCCTCTAAACTTTCACATTAATAATATTAGTAAGATTTATTTTGATGTGTTGAATTTCCTAGCTTATTATTTTAGTTATTTCAATTGATTTATTGCATTTGTTACTAGTTGAGCGATCTAGCTGGTAGATCGTCGATGTCCGGCGCGTATGTGAACAAGGGCTACGAGCCAGCTCTGGACAGTGAGGACGATGGCTCGCCGGCGCCGCGCCGCAGCACCGTGCGTTTCAGAGACAACTTTAAATAATCACATTGCTTTGTATATTTATTTATTAAACGTGTTTTTTATCATGATCTCTAAATTTATTGATCTATTTGAACTGACTTTGAATGATCCGGCTTTTAATTATTTTTCTAAAAATGTGATAGAATCTTGAAGAACAGTTCTTGTAAGTAATCTTGGAATGTTCAATAAATAAATGAGATTTGATTAAATCACAAGAAACTACGCATCGTTTAATATAATTCATGACATAACATAGAAGTTTGCGTAAAACAATAATACTTGCCAAATAAAACTCTTCTCAACATCGTTTAAGCAGAACGTGTCCTTGAATAGAGTCGTGGTGTCGATGACTAATTTGCTTATACGTTTATTGTCTGCAACATAAGGCTTACAAAAAGATTTAGTTGAAAAATAAATCGCGTAAAGGTCATAAGCTCCTAATAGGTCAAAGGTTGTCCAATTTTTTAAAGAATGATTAATCCTTAGTTATTTGAAACAGACATTATTGATTTAATCTATCTATTTTATTCTGCACATTATATTGATGTAAAAGAAAATGAATTTTAAGTAAATCATATTATAACTTAACGAAAGCTTAAAAAAAGTTTACTAAATTGATACGATTAAAACAATACAACTAACTCATAGTTAAACAGTTGGAATCGCATGTATATCGCCACATAGCCAGTTTGTTTTGTAAATGACTTGCGAATGGCTAGTAAGGTATGGCCAGTGGCTACTGGCTAGTGAGGTAGAGATTGTCGAAGTGACAGGTCACCGCGGCCCCGTGTCGACTGTCGTCCGGAGTGGAGCCGCAGTGAGTGCGCGGCAACTCTCGCGACCGCACCGCGCGCACGATGCGCATACGCAACGTAAACGCGAGTGTCCCAAACCAACAGGAACATTGTGAAGTGATAACATATAGGATTTAAGTAGCCGTCGAGAAAAAGGTAAGCAAAGCTAAAAAAAAAAAAAAAATTTTAATTTTATTTGACATTATTTTTTGGCGAGGCCAGAGTGCGTGGTGCGAAAGTATGCAAGGGTTATTGCGAATGATAATTTGAATATTCGTTAGATTACAAAACTATCCTATATTTAGAATGCTATTGTTAGTGTTAACTTAAGTTCTTTGTATCGAAGTAGTGTTTGTAAGAAAAGTATTTGAACTCTATCTTGCGTTTCGCTTTCGAAAGTTCAAATCCGTCTCACAAGAATTAAACGGTTAAGTAGGTTGAAAACGAAACGTGTGATATTTTAACATGTTTTAGTATTTACGTGCATAATATGAATTTATATCGCAACAAACAAAAGTGAATGTAGGTGTTACGCGAGTCGACTGATCAAGGCAGTAGAACCTTCAAGCTTTAATCCCAGTCGTAAGCCTTGTGTTATAAGTTTTATGAGTTTAATTTCTATAAACAAAACGTGTTAAACGTTCAAAACTTACAAGCGAATAAAATTATATTTGACCTCCCGTTAGCTTTAACAAAGGTCATTTGTAGTGAAAAATTGCCCGATTTCACTTTTATAAGTATATTCAAAACCTTTTACAATACCATTGCCCTTGAATTTCTTTAACTTTTTAATTATTACATCGTAGAACGCATTCCTTAATGAATAATTGCCTAAACGATTAAGCTAACGGTATCATATACTTATAATTAATCATTAACTAAAATAAATTAAGATGTCATAATTGCATTATCATTTGGTCATGACATACTAAACAAAGGAAAAATATATTTTTAATTGTTATAACAAAGCCGAATAGAATGGCATGGCATGTTCAGGTTTTTGAGAGCCTTAAGACCTCGCTTACATCCGGTTCCGGCAGAGGGTCGTTCTCACTTCGAACAAGAGCAATTTTGTTACTTCCGTAGCTGTAATTAACGTAATTTTATGTGTGCCTTTTGCACTTGTTACTTATGAAAAAACTTTATTTACTACGATTATACGAATACGTAATTAAAAAGTCAACCGTGTTTTGATTTCATTCATCTGAAGGTGAGATTCCAAGGAATTAAAGAGACGACAATGTTTTGTTTGTACATTTCAAACATTGGTTTATATTAGGTGAATTGGTACCCACGGCCTCAAGTTACATAGTTCGCGTTCTAGTAATTTTAATGCCTTCGACAATACGTGGCAGAAACTTGCCAAATAAATTCTTCTCACAGTTTATTAGATACCATAAAACTTGTATAATTTCGAACCACGCAGTTAGCGGGGTAATCCAGCTTAGTCATCAAAAGTCATAAACTGGTCATATTTTAATTTCTATTCATACAGGGACTTTACTACTTAATCCTTGGGAAGCATAATTTTATCTACATACAAAAACCGCAAAACAGGTTGTGTAGGTGACATTTACATGTAAATATTCACCACAGACTATAAAATAAAATGTATTTGCTACTCTTTGCCATAATTACGATAAACATAAGAATTTATATTAGTGACGGAAGATTTTGCTTGTAGTCAAAAATAGACCGAGGTGAAAGAAATTGTTTAACCAAGCCAAGGCTCAGTAAGGACTGTAGAGTTATGAAGATGAAGCTTTTGCTTGATTATATTATTTTTTACATTAGAATAGCTAAGTAAAGAATGTCATTACGTGTGTAAGTTAGTTATATCTGCTTTAGTGATTTGATTTTGATAAGCTTTGATTAACTGTGTGTGAACAATAAAGTTTTCGCAATTTTAACCGTAACAGAAACATTAAGATTCGATACGGAACATTTACCTATATTTTAAATTTTGCATGCTCTACTTTAGAAAATTTTCGAATAACTTAATACTGTTCAAAAAAATAGCCGATTTTTATAACTTGTAGGTGACATGCGATCATATTTAGTTAGAATTACAAATATTTAGGGCCCATCCCGCCACTGGCTGATAGAGGCTCAGATAACTTAAAAATGACGTCACTGTTAGATAGGGTAACAAAATCCGATATTTCAATCACATATTTTACAGTTGGATTGTTATCAGGCAATTTACAATTTGGCAGGCCTTTAATTTGATAAATTAGGTTATGTTCTTTTTTTAATAGCAAACGATTTTTAGTTAAGGATAAAAGGTAACTATATTCTCAGTATGATTAATACGGAAAAAAATTCTTACTCTGCATAATGCGTCATCTCGAGTCCCTAACATGTTTCTCTTACAGTGAGTTTCTATTGCCAAAATAATTATATGAAAACATATAGTTGTCTCTCTTGTTTATTTAAAAGAAAACAGAGATAACAAAATGTTTCATATGTTTCGTAATGTAAAAGCCAAGTCCGATACGCGCTTTTCTATATAAAAGACTTCAACGCATACTCGTTTATGACCATAAATGTTAGTCACTCGTATTTTATGTTGTGTTTGATATTTAAATTTTATGCTAGTATTTTCCAATCTTTGTTTGAAGCATGTTTATAATATATGTTGTTTCTTAATTACTGGCAATCAACAAAAAGGTGGTTACACATACAATAATAAAACATAAAAAATTTAAAGTCAAAAAACATGAAGCAAAGATTTTTTTTTTTGTAATCACTCCATTTAGTAAAGTTATTAGAGAGGAAACAATAATAAAGAAATCAACGTGTACATGTTACCGAGCAACAATAAATTGCAAACTGACTTATTAACGGATGACGTGGTACTTAGTGACGGATCATTAGTGAATACGAAATAATTCAAATTATCTTTATTTTACGTCATCATAAAAAACACAAAATATTTTTTTTAAATATTAATATTAAATTAGACAAATATGTATAACCAGATAATAATACAGATTACGGTATTACCGATAACGGTTCTGTATTTAATTAATACTAGCTTTCGCCCGCGACTCCGTCCGCGCGCGGATCTAAAAAAAAACAAATTCAAGTAGCCTATGTGTTCTTCTAGACCATCCTCTATGTCTGTGGCAAATTTTATAGAAACCCGTTCAACCGTTTAGGCTACAAACTCTAACAAACATCCATCCATCCATCCATCTAAACTTTCGCATTTGTAATATTAGTATGAAGTATGATAAATGTAAGCAAGGTATTAAGTTACTAAAACCATAAAATATCTTGAGTTTTATCTATTAAGTACGTTAGTGGAAGGAGTTTTTATCAATTTTATCCGGTGTCAATATTAAATCAGATCCAGTAATATCTTTGTACGGCATCTCGTTGTGACGTAGCGAGGCCTACTTTCTCTTTTGTTTAGTACACATTTTCTCATGACTTCATCTTACGATCTATTGATGTCGTAACCATCACTTGCAAGTAATACTTACACTTGTCTCTTTATAGTCAGTACTTCTTATGTTACCTGATTATTGTAAAATAAAGATTATTTTAAGTAAGATTATTCAACTCAGATATCAACTGTTTTTTGCTATTCCGCTGTCATTTAATACGTTAGTTTGTTACCTCTTTTTATTGAAATAAAACGACAAGAACGAAGAAATGTTGTTGCATTTTTAGTAATAAGGAATTGATGTGTTTTGCAATAGTTTTTTGCGTAATGCAGGAAAGTAAAACGTCGTGAAGGCGTGTTTTGCGAACAGTAGATCGCGGCGTCGAGAAGCGGAATTTCAAGAAAGCATACTGATGAAACTGGTAAATGCCTCTTACATTTACCATGATTTGAATACAGATGTAACACATTGTACAGTTATTTTTTAAATTCGAGTTGTAGTAGAAAAAAAGACTAACTTTCAAGTCAGGACATAGTTGGTGATTAACATTTTGAAAATGAAGTATTTTAGAGAACTATTTTTGTACTACACTAATTATAATGTTAAATAAATTGTTGTAAACTTACTAAATAACAAAAATGCAAAACTTTCAAACAATCGCGAAACAATCCATTATTATGCAACAACTAAGCCGATTGATTCTTAAGATTGAAGACCTTCATGGATATCATGAACACCAGTTGAAATAAAAATGTATAACGGGTGTCAAAACGTTTCAGTGGAAGGCATCTGATTATAATTCATTGGTACTGTTCTAAGCGGAAACACCGAGGCCGGTCTTCACGACCACGAATCACGCACATGGTATACTTGATTTCTAACCTGCTTATCATA